CCATCTTAAAGCATACCAACACCAACATAAGTTGCTTTTCAAATCATCATGCCTTTTTTAGATACTTTTTCAATATCCTTTCTTGCTCTTCTCTGTTGGCATTATGTTCTCAGGGTGACTTTGTTCTATTCATGTGCTACTTCTAAATCTGCTGTGATCTTACAAATTAGATAACCAGTTTGATCAGAATTGTATATTATGTAAAGAAGATATTATGTATGTTTTGACTCTAAGAACTTAAAGGTTCCACAGTTAGTAGAGAACCTTTGAGATGACAACTGAATGGGGGGCTATGATAATGTAAGTGACACAGGATGTTAAATTGGAAATTTCACGAGGCATCAAAAAAACTCCAGATTTAAAACTCCAACTATACTAAGATGGTAACAGATTTGAAACTATAAAAATTTCTTCATTCAGAGAGAGCAGAGAAAGACTAAAAATGTGGGGACTGAAACTCAATTGGTGAGGAAGTTTTTTGGAGAGAACCATTGTTGAGCCTATAGATTCACTCCTCAATCACCTAAAGGGGATCACTGTACCTCACCTCAAGTTCAGACAGAGAAGCCTCCAACAGATCATCTGAGGAACTTGCTACATGACCCCTAGAGTGTAAGGGACACAGGAGGGTAACGTTAGACTCCCGCATGGAAAATCTGCCTGCTCAGTGATAAGCTGAAAGAGAGAGAACTGATTCGAGGTTGACCTGCATTTGAAAAATATGTAAAGGGAGAAAAAATAGATTGCTGATATGAATGTAAAATGGTGCAGCCACTTGGGAAAACAGTTGACAATTCCTCAAAATGTTAAACATAGAGCTTATACTATTCCATTTATAGACAATACCCAGGATAGGCAAATCTACAGAGAAAGAATACCAGTGGTTGCTTACGGATAGGGGAGGATGAAGAAGAATAGTAAATGACAATTAATGACTGGGATTTGTTTTAAAGGAGACAAAAAGATCCTAAAATTAGATTGTAGTTGTGGTGGCTGCAGCAACCCTGTGAAAATACTCCTAAAAATGCTGGATTTTACACTTTAAATGGTTAAGAGATATGATAGGAAATTGTACCTCAAGAAATGTTAAAAAGAGAAAGGAAAAAAAAAATTTAAAACTAACACAGTTGGAAATGTTCCCAAATGCCTCTCTAAAATTAAATACCTGCTGTACCCACTAGTTACTCAGGGAGTTGCTGAAATCAATTCTCCCATCCCAGATGTTTTCCTTATTTCCTGCCTTTGAGCCGTACTCTGTAATTTAGTATTAGCACAAGGTTAATAAAGACAACACATCCTTTGTTGCTAAATTTTACATAATGTTTACCATTTTCTCCAACATACACATTTCCTCTGTTTTCCCAGTGCAGCTGAGCTGCCAAAACCTTTTAGAGAGAATAATTACCCCTTACACCCCTTCCTGGTTTCATGACAGACCCAAAGCTTAGTGCATAATCAAGTGTCTACAGCAAACAAATGGCTTGTTTGCCTGTCCAGGAGGTTTTAAATTCATCGCACTGTTCACTGAACTATGAAGGGGTATAATAAAAAAAAATTTCCCCCTCTTCTTTGGGAAAAAAAGATTCTATTTGTTAAAAGACAATAATATGCTTATCAGAAAGAAGAACTCTCTTCCAAAACCAGTTTATTGCATTCCAAAGGAAATCAAAAGAGATTTGTACCAAAGTTTAGTCACAACTAGCCCTGATGTTGGTAGCATTTTCATATCTTGCTGACTCAAACATTTAACAGTTTTTCTTCACAATATTTCTTTTGTTTTATTTTATTAACTATAATGAACATTTACAGAGATTTTGGATTTACATTCATTCATTGTTGCACTTTTCTCCCTGCCCACCAATCCCCCCCTCCCCACAGTTCAGTTCGCTCCTCTCTTTGAAAAGTAAAAGAAACATTATTTCATTGGTATACAACCCCCCACCACCACCCGAGAACACTCCACTATGCAACTTTAATTCTAGACTCTTGTGATAACCATAATACCCTATCATATATCGCTTTTAAACTGTTCTCTCCCTCATCTGTTTCAATGCAGTATACATAATTCATCCAGTTTTTCTCAGTCTTACCGCAACCCTGATGTCAGTCCCATTCTACAGCAGTGGCACCATGTAGTATTTGTCCCTTTGTGACTGAGATATTTCACTCAATATAATGTCCTCCAGGCTCACCCATTTTGAATAATATTGCATGAGTTCCTTGTTTTTCAATGCAGCATAGTATTCCATTGTGTGAATATACCACAGCTTCTCTATCCATTCATTTGTTGATGGGCACTTAGGTTGTTTCCAACTTCTTGCTATTGTGAACAAAGCCGCGATAAACATAGGTGTGCAACAATATTTCTTATAGGACATGACTGAAGATGATCTTTCTGAAACTTCTCCAACACCCAGTTCAAAGGTATCAATTCTTCTTCTGTCATTCTTACTCATTGTCCAGCTCTGAGGTGCATAGCAAGTGATTGACAAGACAATGGATGTCCTGAATCATGTGTACCTATTGCACTTCAATAATTTGGAGAGGTCCTTAACTGCAGACTTTCCCTATGCAGTATGTCTCTTGCCATCTTGACTGCTGGCACCAATTATACTGACTGTGGATCCAAGAAAGATGAAGTTGCTAAGAGTTTCCATCTTCTCCATCTATCATGATGTAGCCTGTCAGTCCAGTGGTGAACATTTTTGTTTTCTTGACGTTGAGATGCAATCCATATTGAAGGCTATAGTGTTTGATTTCCTGCAGCATGCGCTTCAAGTCCACCTCACTTTCAGCAAGCAAGGTTGTATCATCTACATATTAAAGGTTATTGATGACTCTTTCTCTAATCCTGATGCCACATTCTTCTTCATAAAGTACAGCTTCTCAAATGATTTGTTCAGCAGACAAACTGAACAGATACGGAGAAAGCATTCAACCTTAATGCATGTCTTTCTTAATTTTAAATCAAGTAGCGACCCTTGCTCTGTTCACATAACAGCTTCTTGGTAGAGACACAGGTTTTGCATGAGTACAATTAAGTGTTCTGGGATTCCTATTTTTCCTCAATGTTAGCCACAATTTGTTAGGATCCATTCAGTTAATCCATTCAGCCTTTGCATAGTCAATAAAGCACAAACAGACATTCTTCTAATATTCATTGTTTTCAGCCAGGATCCCTCTGACATCAGCAGCAATACTCCTGCTGACACAGCCTCTTCTAAATTCAGCTTGAACTTCATTCAGATAGAACCCCCAACACTTCGACTTCCACCTTGCTCACAGCTCCTGGGCTTAAGGCAAGTAAGCAGCAGCAATGGAAGAAAGCATGTTCCACTTGTCTCCACCATCTTCAGAGCCCCAAGCCCTTCAATTTCTGGCAGACCTTGCTCATAGCTACTGGGCTTGGCACTACAAAGGGTAAACTTCTTTTACTTAATAGTGAAATTAAAACAAAAGCATCTGTCTTCTTATATGAAAGTGCATGACTTAAGATTTACTCTATACGCTTACACACAGCTGGTCTCTCTCTCTCTCATTGCTGATTTTGAAATGACTCATAGCTAACCCTCCAGTGGGTTGACAGAGGCTGTAAACAAAATGAGAGGAGACTGCCCATTTTTTGATGGAAAGTAACTGGTGGATTTGAATAGCTAGTAGGAATGTAAGATGGCTTTTTACATCTTTCTAACTTGGCAGAACAAATTATTCAAGAAACTGGACTACATGAAGAAGAAGGTAACATCAGGATGTGAGGAAGATTGATCAACAATCTGCATTACGCAGATGACACAACCTTGCTTGCTGAAAGTGAGGAGGATTTGAAACTCATACTGAAAAGGACCAAAGACTACAGCTTTCAATATGTATTGCATCTCAGCATCAAGAAATCCTCATCACCAAGCCAACAGGCAACATCATGATAGATGGAGAAGAGAAAGGAATTATCAATGATTTCATTTTGCTTGGGTTACAGTCAGCACCACTGGCAACAGCAGCTAGGAAATTAAAAAATGCATTGTATTGGGGAAAGTCTGCTGTCAGGAAATTCTAGTTGAAGATTAAAGTGTGCCTGATTTAAGCCATGCTGTTTTCAATCACTTGCTATGCATCTAAAAGCTGGACAATAAACAAGGATAACATGCCTTTGAGTTGTGGTGTTGGAGAAAAGTGCTGAAGAGCTGCCCATGGACAGCCAAAAAGACAAACAAGTATGTCTTGGAAAAGGTGTAACTAGTGTGCTTCTCAGAGGCAAGGATAATGAAACATCTGATATACTTTGGGCATGTTGTTAGGAGTCGTCAGTCCTTGAAAAAGGACATTATGCTTGGAAAGGCAGAGGTGTCAGCCAAAGAGTGGGCTGGCTTGGGTGTGTCAGAGATAATGAGAGGGCAAAGGACAGGGCAGGGTTCAGATCCACTGTTCATAAGGTCACTATGATTTTAGTCAACTTCTTTAAGGGATTCATTACTATCAAAAGTTACAGACTCGATAGTAGTATATATTTTTAAGAAGCAAACAGCATTTTAAAAATGTCTCCACAGATTCCTTTAATACATCTGCTTCATCAGTGATGTGTGCCTCTTATAGAGTATAGATTGTATTAATAGTTAGAGTAAATTATGATGTTTCAAAATGTGTCCATGTCTTCATTTTAGAAAAGTCAGTTTATTGTTTAAAGTTTACAAGGAGAAATTATTTTGACACATTTAAAATTTAGATTGTAGTTATGTACTGTCAAGTCAGAACCAGCTCATAGCTGACCCTCCAGCAGGTTTTCAGAGGCAGTAAGTCACACGGGAGATTGCCCATCCTCTCTCCAGCTGATGGATTTGAACTGCATGCCTTCAGGCTGGCAGCACAACTCCTTACCATTAAGTCATCAGAGCTCCAATATCTAAGTCATTTCAATTCTTAAAGTATCAGTTACACAATAAAATAATTTTTAAAAACTAAACAAAAATATGAGCTAAAAAGTATTAGTGATTTGAATTACCAACCTTAAATACATCCTCAATGCATCTATTAAGTTCTTCTTCTGTTACCAAAATGGTCCCTGGTACCATGTCAGTCTCTGGAGTCTCTAAGGAACAAAAGAGTAATACTATTCACACTTAGTGCCTCATTCAATAAACGAAACTGAGCCTAAGGAAGAACGTTTCACTGAAAAGGTAGTTTGGTCAGTAATAGCTAAGATTAGAAAACATGTAACCACTGGACAGCATGGCATTATTCAAATACAACATTTCACAGAATCTATGATGCCACAGTTTGTTAGTATGCATACTTATCATCACTTAAATTTTTTCTTTTAAATTTACTGGAAGAGAAAATATGGAGAAGAAATATGGAGTTGAAAAATAGTGGAACTGATGGTTTTCTGGGTGCTGAGTACAAAGGGTTTCATTATATTATTCTTTGTATGTTTTAATGCATCTAAAAACTTTTCTTTAAAAAGTTTTTCTTTGTAAAAAAAAAGTTTTCTTTGTCATGACAGGAGTCCAGAGTGAAGGCTGCATAGTGGAATGGACCTGGGGGGAGGGATTGTAAAACAATAAAAAAATTTTTCTTTTACTTTTCCAAGAGGGTAGTGTACTAGGGGGGAGGGCTGGGAGAGGAGAAAAGTGAAACAATGAATGAATGAAAATCCAAAGTCTCTGTAAATTTTCATTGAAATTAATAATAAATTTAAAAAAAAAAGTTTTTCTAGAATTTAAGAAATATTGAAAGTTCTTCTTAAGAACTTTAGATTTATCCAGATATATGAGTTTATTATATATCATCCTTTATATAAGCTATATAATTGGGATAAATAGTTATTAAAATTTTATACTCAGTATACAACTCTTCTGAAACACCTTTATCAATATAGGCTCTTCCACAATATTTTCTTCTGTGCCACCAAGAGCAGAGATGATGTGATGTGCCTTAAAACTATTATCCTTAAGGAGCTCTGGTGGCCTAGTGGCAAGAAACTGCACTGCAATCCCAGAGGTACATGGTTCAAATCCACCAGATGCTCTGCTGGAGAAGGAAGGGCAATCCTCCTGTACCAGACAGATCCAATTTGACAGTACAAACACACATACAAAATAATAATAATAATAATAAAAAAATAATCTTACTCAAGATTAAAAAAAACTATTGTCCTGAGGAATTTCTTCTGAGCCACTAGTATTCATTCTGCTGGTTTCAATGCTCATTTGCAGGCACAGACAGCTACTTCATGACAGTCACTTGGAAAACCATGACTGACAGATGAATTATAATAGCAAAGTTGTTAAAATGTGAAACAGATTTCAAAATAAAACTATTTCTTTCAAAATGTACATAAAATTCTGCTATAATGTGTCATAATTGTCAGTGTTACCAAAATGTGATAACAATATGAAAAACAATGTATGAAAGTATGTACTTCAGATTATTCTTCCAGTGGCAATGATGAGTCTAAGACTGGTCATATTCTTGCTTTGTCTTTTTTCACTACCAACAGATTATATATGCAAAAACATGATTAGTGCTACAAATGCAATCAAACGCACAAAGAAAGCCTAGAGAAATATAGTTTCAATAAATAGTTCTTTTTTTTCACTTCCAACAATTTATTCACATTTTTGGTCTGCTTATTTGAATATGTACCACATGTAAATTAGAGGAGGGCTACTGTAAAAAAACATTTCCAACGACTGAAATCTGAAATCTTAACATTCCTATCTAATAGTCCGGAGCAAACCACACATTCACTGATCATGAAGAATAAAATTATTTCTGCTACGTTGACCAATAAATAGTTCTTGAATGAATAAGTAATGTTCAGTAAAAAATAAATAAGCCACAATTGGAATGAATCTAGGCCTTTAGATCAGTGCTCACATTTAATACCTATTTGAATCACTCAGAAGGCCTGTTACAGTCCAGGGTTGGGCTACACACCCCAGATTTTCTGATTCAGTAGATCTGTAGAAAAGTCCAAGAATTTATATTTCTGTTAAGTTCACAGGTGATGATAATACTGCTGGTCCTGAGACTACACTTTGAGAATCACTGCTCTAGACTAAAGCATATTAGTCATAGATAAAATAAAAAGGTTAGTCATGAAGTATAACTTTTAAATGAAGTAAGAATTGTTAGACTCTAACATTAAAGGAGTGTGATTCAAATCTATCAGCTGCTTTGCAGAAGAAAGGTGGGTAATCTTCTATGCAATTCACTGCTTCTGAAAATCTACTACTTATCAACTAAGGGTTGGTTCTGACTTAATGCTACACAATAACAACAATAACATGGATTCAAGAAATTGAGTAAATTCAAACAGGGAAAATATAAAAAAAATCATAATCAAATTTTCAAAATAAAGAATACTGAGAGAAGCTTGGGAAAAACAAAGTTATCTACAAAGAAAATCAAGTAAGATTTAGCTTCGATTTCTCAGCAGAAACCATGCAAGCAAGACGGCAACAGCATGACTGTGAAAGACAAAAACTGGCAAACAGGAATTCTATGCCCAGAAAAATTATCCCTCAAATAGGATACTCAAACTAGAACATTTCCAGATAAACAGAAACTAAGGAAATCTGAGAAAGTAGGTGGCCTAGTGGTTATAAACTGTCTGTGCTATAATCTGAAAGGTACACAATTTGAATCTATCAGATGCTCCACAGGAGAAGGATGGGCAATGTCCTCTTGTGAAATTATTTGCTTCTGAAAACCTGCAAGAGGGTCGTCTATCATTTGGTTCTGACTCCACAGTAAACAAAAACAAAAAACAACTCTTCAAGAAATTCAAAGAGAATTCATTGGATCAAGGGCCAGTAACAGACAATAATCCAAAATTAACATAATCCAAAATTAACATACCTGTTGACATCATTCAGAAACTACTAAGACACAGAAATAAACAAAGTGTAATATAAACCTAAGACACTTAATATAAGGAACCAGAGGTATCTATAAATAACCACCATGCAAAAAGTACTTAAGAAGTTCAGATATAGAACTTCTAAATGGGGAGAAAAATGAAGACAAATAAAAACTGAGGAAAATTCTATGACACAATTAACCTAGGCTCAAGAAAAACATAATGAAAGATAAAAGACCAGTGAATTAGTCCACATTAAAGGAAACTAAAAAAAGTCACAAAGTAAATGCAATGTTTCTTAATTCATACAATCAATAGAGTTTTAAAAATACCTACAAAGATAATATTTTGGACTTTGATAAATTTTAACCAAGTCTGACCATTAAATAGTAGTACTACAATGCAAGAATCCCTTCTAGATGGCCTTTCTAACCATAGTCTTATTAATTCCAACCAAATGATTGAATGTGACTATGTAAGTAAGGTACTTCTAGACTACAAAGAGGATTAGACAATTTGATAATAATGCAGATAAGGTATATGACACTCTGTAGGAACAAAACCATGCAAATAAGGTGTGAGGAGCACTATTGAAGGGACTGGTCAGTTTGCCTCTCCACTAAGCCAATCCCAGAGTATGTGTGTTGGGGGTAGGAATTGACTACCACTAAGAAGAGATTTGAGCAAAGCATGTCCCTTTGTCCCAGAGTACCTGAGATGAGAACCTCTGAGGTCCAGGGAACAGACAGCACCAGAGATAGTAAAAGATGGCGAGAAGCAGTGGTAAAGAAAAGGCAACAGCAGAGGCAGTAAAATGAGGAGACCAGTGAAAGATGGTGCAGCAGGCTTCCTGGCTATGATAAATCTGAGTGCCTTCAGGCATGAGGCATACTGATAAGAGTAGCAGAGCTGGGCTTACAGAGCTGAGTGTCTTCAGGTTAGAGGCTCACTGCTTGGGTGGGGTACCTCACTTATCAGTGAGGCTAAAGAAGTTTCAAACACTTTCCCAGGCAGGAAAGATTCCAAAATTGGCTCAAGGGGGCCAGGAAGACAAGGGCATGACTAAAAAGAGGCTCTCTTGACTGAAGAACTGCCTTCCCGATCCTGAATTATAAACTGCTACTTCCTAGGGGAGCTCTGGTGGCCTAGTGGCAAGAAGCTGCAACTACAGTCCCAGAGGTGCACGGTTTGAATCCACCAGATGCTCTGCTGGGGAAGGAGGGGCAATCTCCTCCTGTACCAGTCAGATCTGATTTGACGGTACACGCACACAAAAATTTAAAAACAAAAAAACCTGCTACTTCCTAAATAAAGCCCATAATCTTTTGCCATCTTGCTAGACTTCAAAATGAGCCATTTCAAGAGAGCTCAAGTGGTCTAGCAGCAAGAAGCTGCACTGCAATCTCAAATGTACACGGTTCGAATCCACCAGATGCTCTGCTGGAGAAGGAGGGGCAATCTCCTCCTTTACCAGCTGGATTCAATTCAACAGTACATAACCATCAATAATTCAATCAATTTAAAAAAAAATGAGCCATATCAGAGGCACAGGGGGGCCACATGATTACCAATAGAAGAGATGGAAGGGCAGTGTATCCTTTGTTCCAGAGCTACAACACTGGGAGCCTCCTAGACCCAGGAGATAGAGAGGGGGGGAAGTACTAATGTCAAATAAAGTGAGAATCAACAGAAAACAGGGGAAGCAGAACCAAGTGACTGATAAAACTGCACTGGCCTTACTGATCTACAGAGCAATGGGGTTACAAAGGGTGTGTCAACCAGTGCAGTAAGAGAGCAAAGTGCCTTCAGGCAGCAGGGTTTTTGGTAGAGTGAAGTGCTACTAGGCACTTGTCAATGGAGCTAGATTTTCCAGAGGAAGAAAGCGGGATACTTCTGGATCAAGATATACTGGCAGAGTAGGGTGCTTCAGGGCACTTACCAACAGAGCTGACAGGTGAGGAAGCTCTGGTGGCTAGTGGAAAGAAGCTGTGCTATCCATTCAAAGGTTCAAATCTACCAGCTACTCTACAAGAGAAAGATGGACAGTCTCCTCCTGTGTGATTTACTGCCTCTAAAAAACCTGCTGGAGATTCAGCTATGGTTTGATTGCAATTTGATGGTAACAACAAAAACATCAGCAGAGTTAAATAAGCTTTGTGACATATGCCCAAGTAGGGCAGAGACCATGTTGGTCCAAGAAGCCTAAGGGCTGATGGGTCAACAGGTTAAGATCAGAGAAAACCGTGACTGCAGACATGGTAAAGAACAAGATGTCTGGATCAAAAAATTGTATCCTGTCTTTTCTGATCCTAAATTCTAACCTATTATTTCCTTATAAACTTCATAATCATGAGGAGGAAGGAGGGACAGTCTCCTCCTGTACCAGTCAGATCTGATTTGATGGTACACGCACACAAAAATAATAAAATAAATAAATTTTTAAAAAAAGAACTTCCAACACTGAAGAATCAGCTTTAGGCTCACGTTGATTCTCCAATCTAGTGACATCAGAGAAGGTCATATACCTCCTCCACATAATTTTTTTTAAATTATTTTTTGTGAGTGTACCGCCAAATCAGATCTGACTGGTACAGGAGGAGACTGTCTCTTTCTCCAGCAGAGCATCGTGTGGATCCAAACCGTGCACCTCTGGGATTTTTTTTATAAGTATTATTAATATTCAATTTACTGAGTATGATAATCACATTGTGGTTATGTAGGAGAGTGTCGTTTTCTTAGGTGATGCAGGCTGAAGTCTTTTTAAGGTAACATCTACAACTATCAAAAGATTTTTAAAAAATATGTATGATTATGGAAAAGTACACTGAATGTGGTCAACAGCTGATGAATCTAGGTTAAGCAAGCGTATGAGGGTGTTTCTTAAAAATTTCATATATTAAAAAAAATTTCATATATTAATGTTTCAAAATAAAAAGTTATGAATGGGAAAGTAAAATTAAAGACTATCACAGGTTTAAATAATTTAGACCACTGAAGAGGGTCTTTTGAGAATACTCAACCACCAGATTTCCTCCTTTACCTGTTGTATTCAAACACCGATGAAGAGGAGCTAACATTGGTTGAAGCAAATACTTTGCTGCTAATTGTGGGTGCTCTCTTGACATAGTAATAAAGGTAGTGCTGGCAACTCTCTGAAATTGTCGTGCTGTCAATTTATCTTGGAAGTGAAATAAATCTAGAATCTGAAAGAGAAATTACATCCAGTAAATTCAAGCTCTTTGTTAGAAGCATTTCACTAACTAGAAAAAGCAGTAATTTCATTAAGCAAAAAAAAAAAAAAACCACATTGAAATAATATTGATTAAAAAGAAACGGGCTTTTGTAATTTAACAACCCAATCTCAAGTAGTATGAGGGCTTAAGGTGTTAATGTCTTTAATAAATGATCTAATCAGATTTATAAAATACCTACTCAAAGCAGAAAGTAAAGTTTTAAGAAGAAAATGAAAAAACTTCCCTAAACACTGTACATATTCTTGGAGTATTCTTTCAAACATATTTTTTCCTTTTTAATTGAGATCATAAATAACATTCAGGTTTTACATATTGCCGAAATGTTAAAATGTTACAAATCTTCAAATAGACTGTATTTTCATTGTGTGTCATGTTGTTAAGTGTCCTCGACTTGACCATGACTTATAATGATCCTGTGAACAACAAATCTGAACCCTGCCCTGTCCCGCACCATCTTCACAATCTGGGCCATGCTCAAGCCCATTGCTACACTGTGTTAATCCATCCATCTCCTTGAGGGTCTTCCTCTCTTCCTCTGACTACCTTCCCAAGTATACCTATTTCCAAGGACTGTCCCTTCCTGAAAGCATGCCCAAAGGATGTGAGACTAAGTTTCACTATTCTTGCCTCTAAGGAGCACTCTGCTTGCACTTTCCCCAAGACAGACTGATTTGTTCTTTCGGCCGTCCTTGGGATCCAAAACTCTTCACTAACATTACAATTCAAAGGTATCAATTCTTCTTTGGTCTTCCTTATTCATTAACTTTCAGATGCAAAGGAAGAAAATGAAAACACCATGTCTTACATGGTTGTTGTTAAGTGCCATCGAGTATGACCCTGTGAACAACAAATCTAAACTCTGTCCTATCTTGTGCCATCCTCATCATCTGACATACTCAAGCTCACTGCAGCACTGTGCTGATCCATCTGGCTGAGGGTCTTCCTCTTTCGCCAACTCTCCATGTTTCCAAACATGATGTCCCTGTCCAAGGAATAGCCTCTTCAAACAACACGACCAAAATATGTTGTCCAAAATCTTGGCGAAGGTTAGGTATGCTTTAGTGCTTTAGTCTTTACACGGATATGTTCACTCTTGGAGAGGTCTCTGACAGCAGATTTTCCCAATCCAGCATATCTTTTAATTTCTTGACTGTTATTACCATGGGTAATGTGGATCCAAATAAAATAAAATTGTTGACAACTTCAGTCTTTTCTCCATCTATCATGATGTTGTCTACTTGTCCCATGGTAAGGAATTTTTTTTCCTTTATTTTGTTCTCTTGATATTGAGATATAATCCATATTAAACGTCATAGTCCTTGATCTTCTTTGGTAAGTGCTTCAAGTTGTCTTCACTTTCTGCAAGCAAGGTTCTTTCATTTGCATAACACAAGTCAATCAAGAGTCTTCCTCCAATCCTGATCACACATTCATCTCCATATAACCTAGCTTCTCAAAGCACTTGCTCAGAATAAAGAGCAAAGAGGTAGGAGAAAGAATATAACCCCAACACCTACTTTTCCAGATTTTAAACCGCAGTGCTTCCTTGTTCTGTTTGGACAGCTGCTTCTAGGTCTATGTACCTAGTTTCTAGTACCTAGTACCTAGGTCTAGTTTCACATGAGCACAATTAAATGTTCTCAGATTCCCATTCTTCTCAAGGTTATCCATAATTTGCATGATCCATACAGCAGCAGCATAGTCAATAAAATACAAGTAAATGTCTTTCTGGTTTCTCTGCTTCCAGCCAAGACAAATCTGACATCAACAATTATTTCTTTCGTACCAAGGCCTCTTCTGAATCCAGCCTGAATTTCTGACAATTCTGGGATTTCTGGAATAATGTTCAGCAAGAACAGTAAAAGGCAAAGCTGAAACACCAACTTTCTCTGTCAAGGAGGCTGGAGGAGTCCCTGAAACTAACCACCCTGAAATAATCTTCAAACCTTAAACTAAAAATATCCCCTGAAGTCTTCCTAAAATAAAACACTAGTTTAGCTTAACTATTAAAGAATGTCTGCTTTGGGCTTACCACTCTTTTAAGAACTATCTATAAGATAATATATAATTCTATGTAGGATCAAACTGACAACAGTTAACACAAAAGACTGGATAGGGCACAGAGGGCAGTAGAGTATATGTTAATGGCAGGAAAACAACATAGAAAATGAGGATGAAAATGGTCACTCAAAGAAAGTAACCAATATTCCTCAATAACACGTACAAACTGTTAAATTAGTGGGGTTTGCTGTGCATTGTCTCAACATCAACAAGATTTAAAAAAAAAAAAAAAAGATAAAGCTGAGGCATTCTTAAAACTAAGTCTCTTCCACAGGTTTTTATTCACTTACTAAGAATGTTTTTCCACTAAATAATAAATCCTCTTTTTGTAAACAGGCATATATTTGTCAAATGGTCAAAGGAAATAAAGCTACTTACCTGAGGGCAGATATCCTTATAGTAACTCTCTGGCGAAAGAGACTGCTGGGGACAAGAAGCCAAAATCCTTGCGATCAAGTCACACTTCTTCCAGTCAGCAGCCGCCACTTCAGCATCACTTCCACCAGCTGCGCCAGCTGTCAGCAACAGATAGAGATGTCAAAAACTCAAAGCAGTTCCCCATATAAAGTTTCATGTGGTCAAGTATTCTTATCATTTAAGGCCCCAAATCCCTTTCTTAAATGCATAATTTTTTTGTTATTTCTATAATTTTCCACACTTTCCTTCAATCCTAGTTTCTGGAAAACAGAATAAAGAGTCATCCGTATTCATTGTCCAGCTCTCAGACACATAGCAGATGACTGAAAAGACCATGATTTGAATCAGACACGTCTCAAGCTAACATCATGGCTCTTAAGTATTTTGGAAAAGTCCCTGAGAGTGGACTTGCCTAGTGTAATATGTCTCTTATCTCCTGATTGCTGGTACCAAGGATGATGATTTTTGATTCAAGCAAGATTAAATCACTGACAGCTTCAATCCTTACTCTATCATGATGTTTTCCGTAGGCTTCACGGTGAGGATCTTTGTTTTCTTATTGAGATGTAACCCTACCAAAGGCTGTAGTTCTTGATGATCTGCACCAAGTGCTTCAAACCTTCCTCACTTTCAACAAGCAAAGTTGTGTCATCTGCATACCAAAGGTTACTTATGAGTCCTTCCCCCTCCTCCTCACAGAGTCCAGCTTCTCAAATAATTTGCTCAGCATATAGACTGAATAGGCAGGGAGAAAGGTTATATCTCTGACACACACCTTTCCTGATTTTAAACCATGCAGTGTTCCCTTGCTCCGTTCGGACAACAGCTTCTTGACTGAGGTACAGATTTTGCATAAGTACAATTAAGTGTTCTGGGATTTCCATACTTTGGATTAGTCATACTTTGTTATGATTCACACAGTCAAATGCCTTTGCATAATCAGTAAGATATAAGTAGATATTTTTCTGGTATTCTCTGCTTTTGGTCAGGATCCACCTGACATCAGCAATGATATCACTGGTGCCATTGCCTCTTCTAAACCCTGCTTGAACTTTTAGTAGTTCCCTGTGAGTGTCCTGTTCTGCTTTTAGATGATCTTTAGCATTATTTTGCTTGATGTAATAATAATGCTATTGTTCTATAACTTCCACATTCTGTTGGATCACCTTTTTTTGGGAATGGAAACAAATATGGATTTCTTCCAATCAGACAAGCAGCTGTCCTCTATATTTTCTGGCATAGACTGGTGAGCACATCAAAGGCTACATCTATTAGCTAAAACAATTGGTATCCCATCAATTCCTGGGGCCTTAATTTTTGTCAATGCTTTCAGTGCAGCTTGAACATCAACCTTCATTACCTCTGACTCAAGTTCATCTGTATTTCCTAAAATTCTTCAGTAGACTAATTCTTTTTAGTGACTCTGTAGTCCTTCTATCTTCTTTTGATGCTTCCTAGATCATTTAAGATTTTGTCCATAGCATCTCTCAGTGTTGGAATTCGAGGCCTGAATTTGTTTTTCAGTTCTTTTAGCTTGAGAAATGCTGAGCAAGTTCTTCCCTTTTTTCCCCTCTGACTTTTAAAGAACTAACTTCTTCAGAAAAAAATTTCATTAGACCCTCCAAATGCAATTTCTTCAGTTTCTACAAAGGAACTAGCAGAGGGTTTTCAGAAGCGGTTAACGGCACGGGGGTAAACTGCCTATCTCTTGCCTACGGAATAGCTGACAGGTTAACGGCACGGGGGTAAACTGCCTATCTCTTGCCTACGGAATAGCTGACATACTTGAACTGTGTGCCTTCTGGCTGGCAGCACCACTCCTTACCACAAGTCCACTAGAGATCCCTACAAAGGTACAGGTAAGCTTTAATCACGTTTAAGGGAAAATGTTAAAAACCAATAATCAATCTTCGATTTTGATGCAAAGGTAAATCAATATAAAAAGAAAAGAAATAGTTTATCTCTTACCCCCTGCTCCTTCCAAAATGCCCCTGACTACTGCCTGGACACCACTGGGTCTCATTAACCTTTCAGAGAGTAGTTGTCCACAAAGCCGCCGAAGCCAAGCTGGGGCCCGAGATCCACACTGTGTCTTCCCATCTGTGCCAGACTACAAAAAAAAAAAAAAAATAAATAAATAAAAGAGAGGGAAAGATAGGAATTATCCTTATCAATGAAATATTTTGTTGTGTAGGTGAAAATTAATTCTATTTTTTAATGCTGAATCACTGAGTCATACTGATAATTAATTGTGTGCTACATGTTGTTGTTATTGTCCTGCTTCCAAGCTTGTTTTAATCTGGAAGCTCCAGCAAACACTGTCCACCATGTGTAATCATTATCGCATTTGACACATCAGTATCACAGTGTTCAGCATCACAGCAACCATGAGTTACCTCTGTAGAGCAATGCACAGACCAGTGCTATACCACTTAGAATGTTTGACAAAAACCAATTTAAACCGGGCCTGAGGGCCGCAGATTAAAATCACCCACCTGGGGCTTGGTAGCATAACTTTCTGTCCACTAGGCCAACGTAGCTTTATATTGTCTTTGTTATTGTTGTTGAGTGCCGTCAAGTTGTAGACGACTCATAGCAACCCTATGAACGAAAGATGTGAGCACTGTTCAAGAGTTCCTGGAGGCAATCCATTTCGAAAATGATGCCACTACTGCTTCCAAGCTTGTTTTTATTGGGAAGCTCCACAAACCACAGCAATCACGAGTACACTCTTATAACATATTTGGCTTATCTGGCAAACTGTGGCCTCATTCAAAAAAGCAGAGTGTGAGGTCAGTCAATTCAATGGGAGGCTTTTTTTTCTGGGCAGAAGAGGAGACTGACTTAAATGGGGAGAGATCTTCATAACCAGCTTCACTAGGTCACTATTCCTAACCTAGAGCTAACTGCTTTCACTCTTAGCCCTTTACTCTTGGCTCCTCTAGATTTATTTGCATGAAAAGCAAATAGATAATTTTCCCCATATCACAAAATTAAGTAATTCTAGATAAATAATTATTTTTTAGGAAAGAAAAAAGAAAGAAATATGTGCCTAGTAAAATATACAGCAGCAGGAGCCTCTGGGAACTCTATGAACTTTGAGAAAGGACAATAGTTATAGAAAGGCTTCAGGTCTTCTGTTCATAGGGTCGCAACGAGTTGTGCTCAACTTGACAGCAATCAACATCAAAATAAATAGGTTTTTCAAACAAAGGAGCTATAAATAGTTACAATAAAAGTTTTGTTTTAATATCTTAACTTAAAATATGCCAACTGAAAAATAAGGTATCCAAAGACTTCTGCCTGATGAGGAAGAAAACTGTTTAAAATAGATATATGATTAGGTATTATTGTCACGACAGGAGTCTAGATCAAAGGCTGCATAGTGGAGTGGACTTGGGGGGAGGGATTGTATAACAATGAAAGAATTTTTCTTTTACTTTTTTAAGAAAAGAACGAATTGGGGGCGGAGGGGGGTCAGGGAAAAAAAGTAAAACAATGAATGAATGGAAATCCAAAGTCTGTAAATTTTCATTAAAATTAATAACAATAAAAAATATATATAAAGAAAACAAAAAAGACTTTTGCCAAAAGAATGAATTGTCATATAGCCAAATCCTTGGCTTTAAAAAAAAAGTTTCAGAATAAATGAAATATATTTTAAATAAAATTACCATTAGCCTTCTAATATGGCCATAATATTACTGGAACGAAATCTATCATTTTATTAAAAGAAAAATCCTTTTAAATTATCCTAAGAATTAGTGTAATTTAATTTTATAAATGCCATTTAATGATCCAGAATATTAAGTACGACTCAAACAGAGACCAGAGTTATCTACTTTCCCCAGAGAATAACACATACCAGATGTTACCACTAATGATTTTAGCCACGAGATACCTGGGGTGGTCCTCCCTGGAGGATCAGTAATTCCCGGACTGCTAATGGTTGATACACTTGATCCAAAATGTCTCTCAAGGCCTTCCTACTTAGGGCTCTTTCTTCTTCATTTAAAACCTGAAAGCAATGTACACTTGGTTTTAGTGGAATGCAAACCATGTAAAACTGTCAAAGAAGGTAATGCTTTGTAATACTGTACAGAGATCCTTGTGCGGGGGAGGGAAGAACGCTTCTATCCTCTCTTGATCTCCCTCTACATGGAAAAAGCTAAACTACTATAACACTCGTTGCCCTCTCTCCACCACCTTATGCACTCCACTTAGGGAAAGAAATGTGATTATGTTATTGGTAAGTTTGGGATATATTCACTATTTTGTGGGTAAGGGCATAGCTTAGCTCTCTCTCTTCTCTGTTGGAAGTAAATGCACATTCTGCTCTGCTCTTCTTTGCTGTAGTTTTACAGAAGCCTATCACCAGCCTTTGAGCTGAGGTGTTTTCCAAAATTCACCATCAACAAGTCATTTCCGACTTATAGTGATCCTGTTGTTGTTGGAACCCACTCAGAGCTGACCTTCTGGCGGGTTTTCAGAGGCAAAGGAGGAGACTGGCCATCCTTCTCCTGTGGATAGTGACCCTAATCACACTTAAACCCAATGAATAATGTATCTGAGTATATTGTTAGGAAGTCTTTTTGTCTCATTATGTAATTTACATCTTCTAACTTTACCTTTGGAGTTACAGAGGTGAAATTTTTTTTTCATCTCTCTTAATCTGTTGTCTTTTCATTGTTTCAAAATTTAGGCAAAGAAAAAGGGCCCTCTAGAGCCCCACAATAATGTTCCCCCTTGATAACTACTAATCTCACAAACAGTCAGGACCCTATTCATTCACAGCACCTTTAGCAGTTCAGCTTCTCAAATGCTTATTAATACAGTGACAAAAAAAAATTAGTACATCTATCAACTCACTGACATCAAGAAGATTCCAACTCAAAGTGATTCTCCATTAGGTTTCCAAGGACGTAAATCTTAACAGGAGATTATTATAATAAATATACTTGAGTGACAACAGCTTAAATAAATAGTGTACAAGAGATGTTCTACAAAATAATAATGAGGGGTAAGTGAAATGGGACTCTCCAGACATGCAAAAGACCAACCCCACTGCCATCAAGTCACCGCTGACTCACAGCAACTCTACAGGACGGATCAGAACACAGTTTCCAAGGCTATAAATTTTATGGAAAGAGACTGCCACATCTTCCTTCTGTGCAGAAAGTAGCCTTAGTTAACAGCCAATTACTTTATCCATTATACCACTTGGGCTGCTTATGCAAAGGACTAGTCAACAAAGGAAAGACTAATCCAACAAATTAAAGCTCTATCTTCCCTAAAAAAGTTTAGGGTGGGTATTGGTATGTAGTAAGACATCTACAACATTCAACTATTCATTTTTTAAAGAACTAGGAATTGTCTTTTATAATAACCACACATAAAATATATATACACATTCACATACAATATACACAGTCACATATACATATTCAAGGTGCCTTTACCTCTTCCATAGATTTTGATGGTTTTCTTTTCACTGGACAGAATCCCAGTTGGCACAATCCTGCTGCAATATCCCCAAAATGACGACAGAAAATCATGCTCCCGAGAGACGCGTGCTGAGCAACATTCAGGAGGATCCTGCAGCTGGCGAACAGTCTCTGTGTCACGCTGGGGGCAGCAGCAGGACATACCACATCTTGAACAACAGCACCAAAATCAGTCCTGAATTTCAAAGGCACTCCGACACCAGGCATGAGATAAGGGCAGACCCCTAAGGTGACCACGAACTGCAAAGCTGACTGAACAGTCTTCTGCTGTGATATACTGAGCGTGTCAGGGCTCAGGGCAGGAGCAACCTCTGGAGTCCTAGGGTTGGGTTTTCCTGGACTGAAGTGAGCTGCAAGGTGGAACATGGTTTCTTTTAAGCACAAAAGCAACAACAATGTTTGAGAGACAAAACTCCAAGTGACATCTGTAGAGTTTTGTGGACACTCTGCCTTATTAGCAATTTCATCTCTCAGAAGTTTCAATTTCGTCCAATGAGGATCCTTCAGAAACTTGTCCTCCAAAGCAGACAGGTTGGATTTTAAGGTTGCCAACAAAACATCATGTTTTGTGATCTGTAGTGAACTTGAGCCTGACCCTTTGGAAGGGAAAAAAAAAAGATAGTTATATACATAAAAAAGAAAACTTTATTTCTTTCTGTGTGGATGCCTGCCCACTCCAGGTCATCCTTTGAGGCCCCTCGCTCAAAATTTACTGCTTCTAAGAAGACATTATGCCAATCCAGCCTTGGCAGAATTCAAGACCAACTTTCCTACCGTGCCCCAGTATTTTAGATGTAATTGGAACTGTACTTAACACATGATGTGCCCTTTATTTTGTTCCTATTTCTATTCCACCACATCTCTTGATGGCAGAGTCCATGTCTCAATCATCTCCCAGGATTTATTGTAGCCAGAAATTTTGAAACTGAACCCTTAACGCAGAAAAGCCATTCAGCTGAACTGATAAAGGCGCTGGTGATATAGCACTGGACAAAACAAAGTCTCTTCTCTCACAGAATTTATATTTTAGTCAGGAAGATCACAAATTATGAATATAACAGTTCAAAGGTACTTAATTTCATTATTTTCTTCCAAAAGAGCTGTTTTCCTAACATTGTCTAAAATGGTCTTTTCTGCCCTCTACTGGTGACGGAGCCCATACACAGTCTCAACAACAATTGACATAACAGACCACTCTCCTTGAAATGCCCTTCTTTCCTAGCTTCTGGGACACTCATTTTCCTAGTTTTTCTCCTACCTTAATGTCTATTTACCCAGGGTTTACTATGTTGGTTTCTTTTCCTCTGGAACATATCTAAATGATCCAGGGCTTGGTCTTAGACCCAGCACTCTCCCCTCAGATGATCTCATCAGGGTCATCTATTAACACAGTCAAGCAAATAATGGGCTGGAACATGCTGGAAACCACAAGGATGGTGCAGGATAGTGCAAGTTTCCGACCTGTTGTTCATAGGGTCGTTAAGAGTTGTAGTCGACTGGATGGCACTTAACAATTTACGATAAAGTAACAATTCCCTCATTTGTGACTGACTCAAGGTTATATCAAATTATGGATAACATTAAAAAGAATGAGAATCCAAGAACACTTACTTGGGCTCATGCAAAACCTACACATACACCAAGAAGCAGCTGTCAAAAAAGTATAAGGGAACAGCAAAGTATTTGAGAAGCTAGACTTTATGAAGAAGAATGTGCCAGGATTGGAAGATTCATCAATAACCTGCATTATGCAGATGACACAACTTTGCTTGAAGAACATGAAGACAACCTAAGAAGCACTTATTACAGAGGATCAAAGTCTTAAATATAAGTTACATCTCAATATTAGGAAAACAAAAATTCTCAACACTGGACCATATTTAACATCAGCAAGATGGAGGAAAAAAATAAAGTTGCTAAGGATTTGATCTCCTCTTACTTGGACCCACAATCACCACTCATAGTAGCAGTAGTCAAGAAATCAAGATATGTTGTGTTGGAAAAACATGCGACAAAGATCTCTCTGAAATACTACAGGGCAAGGGTATCAGTTTAAAGACGAGGACACATCTAGTCCAAAGCACAGTATTTTCTATTGTTTCCTAAGCATCTGAAAGTTGGACAATGGATAAGGCTATCAGAAGAAGTGATGCCTTTGAATTGTGGTGTTGGCAAAGAGCTTTGGCTATACCATGAAAAGCCAAAAGAACAAACAAATCTGTCTTGGAGGAAATGCAGCAGGATGTTCCTTAGAAGTAAGGATAGTAAAAGGTTGTGTCACATACTTTGGGCATTTTGTCAAGAGGAACCTGCCCCTGGAAAAAGATATTTTTCTGGGAAATGTGAAGGAACAGAGAGAGAGGAAATTCCTCAACCAGAAGGACTGAAACGGTGATCATAACAATGGGCTCAAGCATGGCAGAAATCATGAGGATGGTGCAGGGCAGCACAAGGTTCAGATCTGTTGTTCACAGGTTGCTATGAGTCATAATTGGCTAAACAACACCTAAAAGCAGTGGTTTATCTATCTTTTTTTTATTTTATTATCTTTTTTTTTTAAATTTTGTGTGCATGTACCGTCAAATCAAATCTGACTGGTACAGGAGGATATTGCGCCTCCTTCTCCGGCAGAGCATCTGGTGGATTCGAACCGTGTTCCTCTGGGATTGCAGTGCAGCTTCTTGCCACTAGGCCACCAGAGCGCCCCTATCTTTTTTTTTAAAACAATAATAATTTATTAAGAGCCTCCCCTCCCCCACCCTCGCCGTATTTAGGGTCACTTTTTCCGCTTGTAGATCTTGTGCGCTAGTCCCAGGAAGATGGCTGGGGGCAGGGGAGCAGCGTACTGCTCGATAAGCCCCATAATGTGGCTGAAACTCTCTTCTTCATACTGCTTGAACACAGCAGGCAGCTCCACTTCCTCATACAGTGCCTTCACCCGGGCCACCTTCTCCGTCTCCTTCTGCCCATAATTGTCCTGCAGGATCTGGCGTTGTTCTGGGGAGGCCCGCTGCAGACACTGGATCACCAGCCAGCTGCATTTGTTGTCCTGGATGTCAGTGCCAATCTTGCCTGTCACACTCGGGTTACCAAAAAGATCAAGGTAATCATCCTGAATCTGAAAGAATTCACCCATCTCTAGCAGAATCTTTTTGGTGTTGGCATGTTCCTTCTCCCCGTCAATGCCTGCCATATACATTGCAGCAGCTACAGGAAGGTAAAAGGAGTAGAAAGCTGTCTTGTACTTGACAATGGATTTGTACCTCTTTTCAGTGAATCTGCTGAGATCCACTTTGACCTGAGGGGCAGTGATGAGGTCCAAGGTCTGTCCGATCTCAGTCTGATAAGAACTCTGCAGGAAGAGCTCCATCAGGTTCAGGTACTAGGGCTGCTCCCAGCAGTAGAGCTTCAGGAGGCGGTAGATACACGATTCCAGCAGCATGGCATCATTGATGGCATCCAGACCTATGCCTGGCTTCTGATACTAGCAGGGCTGCCCGCGTCGGGTAAGGGATGAATCCATGATGTCGTCTAATACAAGGAAGAAGGCTTGGAGCAGTTCCACACACCAGCCCACTGTCAGGGCCCGCTGCAGACTCTCAGCATCCTGCTTCCTGGGCTCCACCAGATCCTGGAACACTGCCAGCACTGTTAAACCTCGGTTGTACTTCCCTCCAATGGCATTGTACTCTAGGACCTTCCTGAGCCAGGTAACAGCATCTCCTATTTCTGGGTGCCCCAGATCATCCTCAATCAGCACCCTGACAATCTGGGAGAAGTGCTGGATGAAATCCTGCTTCTCTTGGGCGTAAGCCTCTGATTTCTGGTCTCCGTTCATTCTGAGGGAGGAGTAGAATGCTCTGTTCTTGGATGCCGGTACTTGCTTGGTCCAGATTGTTGGCGGGATACTCCTCTATTTTATTATCTTTGTGTGAGTGTACCATCAAATCAGATCTGACTGGTACAGATCAGAGCTGACTGGTACAGGAGGAGATTGTCCCTCCTTCCCCGGCAGAGCATCTGGTGGATTTGAACCTTCGCCTCTGGGATTGTAGTTGCAGCTCCTTGCCACTAGGCCACCAGAGCTCCGGTTTATCTATCTTTTAATCCCAGATACATATTTCCAACTACTTAGTATCTCCCACAGGATGGTTTCCTATTGTGGACTAATTTCAACTCATAGTGACTCTAGATAGACAGACTGGGACTGTCCCATAGGGTTTCCCAGGCTATATGTAGTCTTTATGTGAGCAGATTGTCAGGTCTTTTCTCTTATGAAGTGGAGCAGCTGGTGCTTTAGAATTTACTTTCTAAATAGAAGCTGAGTGCTTAACCATTATATCACCAGGGCTCCCTTCTTGGGCATCTCAAATTCAGTATGTACACACCATAATTCTGAAATGCAAAATGATAACTTAATCCGGACATCTCCATCTCCTTTCTTTATCTCCTTAATCTATCAGCAGGCCTTGTCTATTCTGCTTCTAAATTATTTCTCAAATTCATCCCTTCCTCACCATTGCACTATCACTCTTTGTCCAAGACATAACCATCTTTAAACTTCTGCAACAGCCTCTTAACTCATTTCTCTCCTTACACTCTTCCTCCAAAAAAACCCAACTTTCCACACATCAGCCAAAGGAATCCTCTTTAACACTTAAAACAGATTTCTTTTCCATGATGCAAAGCTCTTCACAATCTAGTTTCAGTTGCCTCTCTAGCATAGCTGCAGGCTCAGCAGTTCTCTCTACTGCAGTGGCCTGGATCTCATTTCAGTCCTTCAAAAAAGCCAAATTCCCTCCCAACTCAGGACAACTATCATGTCCACACAGAATGTGTTCTTCGAAGTCTTAACATAGCTGGCTCAATCATAGAGGCCTCGGTGTTTTTTAATAAACACACAAAAGAATGCAAAATAAACGTGTACAGTTCAATGAATTATCAAAAGGAAACTCACATGTAACCACCATCCACAATTAAAAAGAAAATATGGCCATTTCTCTAAGTAGCTCCCTTATTCCTACTTCAATCATCTCCATTCCCTCCACCAAAGGTTAAGTACTAACTTGAATTTTATGGGGAAAAGGTGTTTCCTTTCTTCGGTTTTTTTAAATGGGAAAGGTGTTCTTGAATATCTAAACATGCATTTTTCATCACTATAGCTTTTACTTATTTTTGAACTTTATGTAAATGAATCATACACATCATATTTTTTACATATTTAAAATTTTTTTTATTATTTTGTGTGTGTGTACTGTGAAATTGGACCTGACTGGTACAGGAGATTGTCCCTCCTTGTACAGCAGAGCACCTGGTGGATTTGAACCGTGTACCTCTTGGATTGCAGTGCGGCTTCATGCCATTAGGCCACCAGAGCTCCCTACACCATGTTGGGTTTTTTGTTTTTTTTTTAATTTGTGTGTGTGTGTGTGTGCGCGTGTACCGTCAAATCAGATCTGACTGGTACAGGAGGAGATTGCCCCTCCTTCTCCAGCAGAGCATCTGGTGGATTCGAACCGTACAATCATGTTCTTTTATGTCTGGATTTTTCTGCTTAACATTAGGTTTGTACAATTAGTCCATGTTGTGTGTAACTGTATTTATTTTTCTATTTATTTTCATCGTATAGCATTCCAATGCTTTTACTTATACCAAAGTTTATCTATTTCTCACACAATTTATTTTATCCATTCATTTCCATTATTCCTTATACAGGACTATTACACATAGTCTATTCTACATTCTCATGCAGGTCTCTTGGTGGAAGTGTGCATATATTTTTCATGTGTATAACCTAAGAGTGGAAATACTGGGTTACAGGGTTAACTGAAACTCTCAATTTAAATATTATCTTCTCAGGGTGGCCTTCTGGACCAATCTAGAAGCTATTACCCCTTCTCATTAAACCTGACATAACACACAATTTCTCTTCTCCACAGCACTTAGCACTATCAGCAATTATTTTACCTGTGCGTGTTTTCTTTACGCTCCACTAGCGCTTACACTTCATAACCACGTCTTGTTTGATCAGTGCTTTGCACAGTACATAACACAAAGTGGCACCAAGAGTCCTGAGTCAACTGAAGGGAAGAAGAGACACAGGGGTGGGGGTGATGGCTAAAGGGTGAGAGGTTTTCCTACAGAAGTAATGTCACTGTTCAAAAGTTGACTGTAATGATGACAAATGCACAACTGTATGAATAAACTATAAGTCACTGAACTGTACACTGGGAAACAGGTGAACTGAATCACACCCACGTGAATGAAATCACAGTACAACTGCTGGGAGAAAAAAAATAGGATTGGAGCTAATCTTAAGAAGTAAAGGTTATTGTGCAACAAGAAATGAATGGAAATCCAAGTTTTCTGTAAACTTGCATCAAAATTACAATTAAAAATTATATTAAATAAAGAAGTCAAGGTGTTAAATTAAAAAAGTAAAAGGCACATATATTATTTGCACAAGTGCAAGCAGCTTGGAAAGCGGGCTCTGTCGATCCTAAACTGGGAAAATCCTGTCAATCACTAGCAAAAATAACAGGTGATTGTACACTCACTGGGCTTTTTTTGTTTGTTTTGGGTTTTTTGTTTGGTTTGTGTTTTGGGTTTTGTTTTGTGTTGTTTTTTTTTTCCTTACTGGGCTTTAAACCCTCAATCCGTCCCCCAAGCCCAGCTCCTGGGTCACTGTTTCCTCAGCGCCTTCGGCTGGACTCTGGCATTCTGGACAAATCTCGTGTTCACAATGGACACTGCGCCTTCAAGAGGTGGGAGGCGTCACCCCACGCCTCGTGCGCCCACCGTCGCTGAACCTGCTTCCCGAGGAGCGACCGAGGCGGGTCGGGGACGCGCAAGGCGCAGAGAGCGGGGACCCACAACAGGCAAGCGCTTAAAAAGGTGCTATTTTCAGTATCCAAACGCACCTATCCCCTCCTGGAACCTCGGTTTCCTCGGGCGGAAAATAAAGCTGGTCACATAAAGGCAGAAGCCCCCCCGGGGCGACCCCTGTGACGGAGGTGGTCGGGGAGGCCTGAGGTGAGCGCACTGCGGGAAGCTAGGCAGCCCGGGAAGACTGGCAGCCCCGAGAGACCCCGGTCTAGCCCGGCCGAGATGCGTCCTCACCTCCCGGGCTTAGCAGCAGCTTCAGCGCCTCTAAAATCTGCTCCAGATCGCAGGTCTCCAGAGTTCCGCTGCTCGCGGTCTCTCCCGGGGCCGCCATGACTGGGGTAGAACGCGCCGTTTCCAAGGCCCGTCACGCGCGTCGCAGGCACAACGTCACCGCCATCTTTAATGTGGCGACGAGCGCCCGGCCTGTGGGCGGGGCCTGTTGTCTAGCAACGCCCCCTTTGCATATTTTATCCTGTTCTTCCTACCCCCTTCCACTTACAACTTAAGAAACTCAATTAGTAGCTCTCTTCAAAGGTGGTTGTTTTGTGCCCTCAAGTCAAAACTTGGCCCATAGGTGATCCTTCAGAGGGTTTTCAGAGGCTCTGAACGGCAGTGGAGGAAACTGCTCATCTTTCCTCTGCGGAGCAGGCTGGTGGATTCAAACTGCCTATCTATGAGTTGGTGGCGCAACTCCTTATCACTAGGCCAACAAGCTCCCCAGTATGCAGAGGGAATTTATTGATTTATTGTACGTTCAGGCCCAGCCAATACAAACTGGCATGCAGAATTTCAAAAGTATTGTCATAAAAATTCCTTAATTTTTTTCTTTTTAATAGAAAAAACGAATTCCAGTGGACTACTGGGAACATTTTGATATGTGTGGTTGGATGTTGGGATGTGCCCATGGCATAGAAGGGAACATTCTCTCCCCTGAGATAATTCAAATGGGCAGTTTAAGTACCCTATTTACTTAGCCTTTAGTATATAAGCTCAGGGATTTTCGTTTCTGTGAAAGATTCAAGTAGCCCCCTTCCTCAGTTTGCTTTACCCTTGAATCAATTCCATATAGCAACCTTATAGGACAGAGAACTGCTTGCTCCATAGGGTTTGTGTAATCTTTACAGAAACCATATTTTTCTCTTACATAGTGTGTTGAGTTCAAACTACTAGCCTTTCAGCTACTGGTGCTTAATCACTGCACCAGTGCTGCAAAATACTTTTGCTCTGGATCTCTTTTTTAAAACACAAGTCGAAGGGACAATTACCTGACTCTATTGACCATTTACAGCTAAGTCCATCTGGCAATAGAATAACAAGTCTTCTACAACCTGAGTGGGCACAGCTTCTTTTCTGCAAAGAACCGTATTTTTCAAGATACACAGAAGTTCTGTGTTCATGTAAAATACGTTCCATTGACGAAGTCAGCAACAAGGAGTCCTTTATTAAGGACAGCAGCTGACCAAGCATCAAAGCAGCCTGCCTTGCCTCCGGTTTTTCAACCCAGAACTAATAAGGATAATGCCATTCAAGAACTACCTTTCAATAACGGCTATTTAAAGAATTTAGCCATGTCTGTCAAAGAAGAGATATTTAATGAATAGCAACTACATCTTTCCTCATTGCCATGGTCAGACCATAAAGAAATGTGGTTCAGGAATAGAGCGACCCTGTGGGCGGGAGACCCGGTGGGCGACTGTGAGCCTCGCTCTGGCCTGCACGTCCTCATGCCCTCTGGTGGCCTGAGCCTGTTGTAGCAGTCAGATCCACTCCTCTTGCCTTACAGGCCGCTGTTTGGCTGAAAGTTAAGCCATAAGGATGCATCTAGTCCCAGAGGTCCTGAATCTTGTAACAGACCTGGCCAGTTTTGGGGTTTTTGTGTGGGGGTTTGTTTGTTTTTTTTATTATACTAGTTTATTTTTGTCTTCCTGTCAAACATTCTTCTAGGTGGTATATCACTGGTCTGTGCGTTGCTGTACAGAGGTCACTCGTGGTTGCTGTGATGCTGAAGCCTGTGACAGTGATGTGCCAATCATGGTAATGGGCACCCATGGTGGACAGTGTTGGCTGGAGCTTCCCGACTAAATCAAGCCTGGAAGCAGGAGAGGCATCCACTTCCAAAATGGCTTGCCTCCGGAAATTCTATGTACGAACAGTGCTCAGGCTGTTCTTTCATAGGGTCGCCTACGACTTGACGGCATTAAACAACAACAACAACAGTCCTTTTAAAAGAAATTATTCATGTAACTGCTCAGATTTTCTTCAACACCTTCCAACAGAGAAAAGGTATCTCTACCAGTTTTTCAGCAGTGGCAGTAATGACATTTTAGGCTGGATAAGTCTTTGTCATGGGAACTGTTTTGTGCACTGCAGATGTTTATTTAACATCTCAACTAGATGGTGTTAGGTCTTTGGACTGGATTTAAGGCCAAGGACTCAAGGAAGGGACCAGAGGAAGAAAGGAAGCTAAAGAAGCTTTATTAATGGGTATCCGCAAAAGTGGATTAGGGCAGGTTTTATAGTAAGGGTCTTTAGGGAGGGGAGGGAGGAACATTCCATTGTTGTTTAGCCAGCTGGGTGGTCTTCTAGGGAGGGAAGGGAGAGGCACTCAGATGGTAGGTGAGGCTGTTCACTCCCTTTGTTGACATGTTGACATTCCTTGAATCCTTTGTTCTCCCTTAGACCTTGCCTGGCAGATGCTATTAACAAGACCTAATTGTGGCAACCAAAACTATCTCCTGAAATGACCAAATGTCCTTGAAGAAGGGGCATGAGAACAAGGGATGTTGTTTCGAGCTTTGCTTCTGCCCCTAAGTTCAGCCCGTAGGAGAATTCCACTGCTATAAGGATTGGTTTTACCACATGCCACATGGTTAGGCATACTTAAGAATTCAGTATCCCCTGCGCTGTTTCTAATAGAAAGACGCAAAATTATGGGTAGGTCATTTCTGTGTGTATCATCTTTCACTATGGTGCAATGAAATAAAATAGTCTGACAACATTTTAACAAATTTCTTTAATAAAATTTATAAAAATGCAACTCCAAGAGTTCTCAGCTTGAATTGTGTTCGTTTTGCACCCTTAAAGATATTACAAACATACACACTCAAACAAAAGTATAGTGACACTCTCTATATAGAACTACATTGTTGTTGTTGTTTAATGCCATCGAGTCGTAGACTACATTAGCTAGTTTAAATTGCAAGAAAATCTTCGTGATTACAAAGAACATTATCTTCTTTTAAAAAACAGACAAAATACAATAAAACAATTAAACTCTTTTCCTGCATTTGCCCAAAATAAGGTCCCCATTCCATCCCCACTCACTCTTAACATGCTTCGGGCAGATATTTGTTTTGTAGGCTGCACCTCACTGGAGAAAAAGAAATTGAGGCTTTTTAATATTTTTTGTTTTCTACAGACATTCACACTTAGGAGCAAATGTATCCAGACCAGCCAGCATTTTCTGTAGACACTATCAAAAGCAGGCACTTGGGAATGTTGTGCTTTAGATACAAACTGTATATAAAGATCCTGGAAAAAAACCCATGTCACGATTCCTCGTTCCAGAATTTCACAAAGATAGACCCACCCCCTCAACCATCCTCAGTATCAGTCTATTAAGTTAAACTACCAGATTCCATGCAGAGCTCTGTACCAGTCTCCAAGCTCTCATTCCCTAAGCACCCTCTGCTGTGCACCTAGCTGGCTTCCATATTTGGCTGCAGCACTTTAGGCACTGTTCTAAGTCTCAAAACATAATCATGATTTTGTTTTAGTCAGTAATGAATGTATACTAAAAGTTAAGTGGCACCTGCAAACTCCCCATGTTTTCTGATCAAGGCTCTCTGCTTAGAAGCAGAATGTCCCACAGTGACATTCAGACATTGACATAGCAAACATTCCTACTCAAAACAAGTAAAAGTTTTGAGTTTCAAGTTATGTACTCAAGAGGTTAAACAGAAAAAATAAAGTAGGATGGGGGAGAGCCTGTTTAAGGTCTTAAAAAATATTCATTAACCAGGTGAGATATGGTCAAAGACAGAAGCCTCTTAACCTGAACATGCCCAGCATATATATGCCTAGAGTAGTGCAACAGAAGTCAGAGGGACTCAGAATAGACACTAAGAGTCCTGGTGGTAGTAACATGCTGAACCATCAACCAAATGATCAGCACTTTGAATCCACCAGTTACTCCACAAAATAAAGATGGGCAGTCTACTCCCATAAAAATCAACAGTCAGAAACCGACTGAGGGAGGATTAACAGAAGTCTCAACTGTCAACAGCAGGAAAAAAGAGTGGTTATTAGAACATAAGACACCAGTCAGAGATGGGGGTAAAGCACACACATTAAAATGAAAGTCCCTAAAAAGACCTGTATGTAAAGTGTTGCCACAATCTCATGGCTAGTGCTGTTTTTCTAAATTATTAATAACCGAGGGTTCTAAGACATCATCAGCATGTAAAGAATGATGACAGAAAAAGAGATTCCAGAACCAAGTCAAAACTTTTCTAACAAACACAGATGAGATCAATTAAGTATAAATCACAACTATCCTAATTGTATGATTCATCACAGTCTCTCTTTCCAAAAAGTCATCTTAATTGAAGGGAGCTTAAAAACAGAGATGTAACTTCTGCAAGCCCCATCAGATGGGTGTAGGGATGGATAGCTTGCTAGTCTTAAGACCTCTAGTCGTCTTCACCACCTCCGTACATATCTGCCAGCTTTTTGAATCGATTGCCCCATTCATTCAAGTAGTCATAGTCTTGGTCTTTGTCTGACTCCGAAGAGTTGAGGGAGCTCAGGCTGGCTGCTTCAGAACCACTTCCTTCATAATCAAACACGAGCAGAGAGTCGTAAGGTGGAGCAGTGGGATCACTGTCAGCTGCCTTTAGGTTCTAAAGGGAAACAACAGGAATTTTCAGTTAAAGGAATGACCTTTAAGCATTAAAGTCATGTGTCACTAAAGATGACTTGATGTCCTCAAGTCCAAGTCACACAGTAATTCAAACCAACTTTGTGAAATATCGTATAATTAATACCAACATGGTAGACACGATAGGTGGTGAAAAGAGAAAGTTAGCAGAAAATACATAGAATTTTTCTATCTGTAACAAGACATTAAGGTATGTGTAAACCAAGAGACAGACTTGTGTACTGACCAGTCAAGATGGAGTGCCTACAAATTAAGACCAGGATCCTAGGTCACAAAACAGGATGAATAATAGGTAAAATAATGCTGCTTTGTGTGTGTGTATACATATATATACATATATTTTTTTTTTCAGTGAATATATTATTTTTGTTATCAAGAAATAAAAGCTACTGTCACATATGATGATAGGGGAAATGAATGTGAATGGGAGACTGGATCTGAGTCCAAATATAACTAAAAAGATGGTTTGAACCAGTCTTTCTAGACTCAATTTTCTTTTAGGATACAGTCGCTAGAATAGTGGTACCTGATGCTGTTTGACCATAAGCCAAGTTTATTATCATATATGTAATTTACTAGTATTTACAAAGTTTCTAATATATTCAGTATGGACACCATTTCTCTCTCCTTCAACTGTGATACAAACTTAACATCACGTCCTAACCAGAAGTAAACTGCACAGAGCAAAGGCCCACCAGGAAGCCCAAACTTGATCTACTTGGAATCTCTTTCATTTCATTATATTTACAAAATCTTTTCTTGCAATTTTTTATCTTACCATATGAATATTACAAAGTCACTAAGCTCAACTGAATGTGCCTTAAGTTCTGAAATTAGGATGAGAAACAAAAATAAATTTAACAGTTGAAGATTAGGTGAGATGAAAGCTTTATAAAGGGGGGAAACTAGAGACCTTTTGTTCTCATATTTTATACATAATTGCCGCTTTCTAAAGTGCATCAAACCTTCATGATGACTTTGCTTACTTACTTCATCAATGAAATTTCCAATTTCATCAGGATTGGCAGGACGGGGGCGATACTGGGGTACACTCATGAGGGTTGGTGCCACATCATTACGAGTCACTTCAGGTCGAGCATCCAGTCCCCTGTGCAACTGGCTCAAATCAAAGTCCTTTGGAGAAAAGGTAAAAGTACATCAAGGGGTTTATAAGGGAGTCCCAATCACAATGAGTAGTAGTATACAGTATTTGCCTTACATATTAGGATATTTGGGTAATGGCTTAACTGTCAGTTGTATGATACTTAACAATCATGTACCTATATAATCTGAAACATCAGCTTTAATTTGGAAGCTCCCAGATAGCACTGGAAGAAAATATGAAACACACTGAGTAGCAATTACTGGTACAGATAAACTGGACTGTTATGAACTTTTTATAGGGTGTTACATGGCACATATATCAGCAAATATTCACTCCCTCTCCATCCCTGCCTCTGAGGGAAGAACATATTTCTATCAGCCATATGCTTTGTCGCGTGATTTGCTTTGGCCTTTTGTCTCTTCACTTTAGGCTTAGTCACATGATTTATTTTAGCCAATGGGCTAGTAGGTGATACAACACAAAGGCCTCAAATGCATTTTACATTATCTTGCTAGTACAGAGACTGAGAATTACATCAGAGTGTTCTGGAGCCAATTTGTAATTTAGGATTATCTAGTCTTAACTATCTAGTGTAGACCAGCTGAGATCCAGTCTACCTACAGATGCTTATAGGCTGGCTAAGCTCAATAATGGCCCAACGTAGAAGTCCCCTGAAATCGGAACCAAAACTTTTATTTCCCCATACCCACTAACTTTGTAAAAAGCAAGCACTGGAATTCTAACCAAAGACTCTCATTTAAGGTCACACAGTGCAGCACTTGTCCTTCAGTGTATGACCTGGGTCAAATGCTAGGCTCTGATAGGATCATGGTGGTTCCCATTCTACAAAGCTCACTGGAAAACTCTAGAGCAAAACAAGTTAATATCATCTTTAAAATTGTTGTTAGGTGCCATCAAGTACGACTCATAGCAACCCTATGAACAGAAAATCTAAACCCTATTCTAGTCTGCGCTATCCTTATACTTCTGACACACAAGAAGTACTGCAATGGTCACTGTGTCAATCCACATCGTTGAGGGTCTTCTATTCCTTCCACCAACCTTCTACCGTTCCCAGCATCATGTTCCTCTCCGTGGAATATCCCCTCCTTGAAACTTGCAAGTGTGTGTGAGGCAAAGACTCATTATTCTTGCCTCCAAAGAGCTCTGCAGCTGCACCCTCTCTAAGACATATCCATTTGTTCTCTTGGCTGCCCATGGGATGTTCAGTGCTCTTCTCCAATACCACAGCTCAAAGGTGTCAAAATTCTTTTTCTGTCATCCTATGCACTGTCCAGCTCTCAGATGCATAACAAGTAACTGGAAAAACTATGGCCTGAATCAGATGCACCTTAGTGTGGGAAGTCAAATATCAAATTTAATATTAATAAAAAAAACAAATGCTGTATCAGGATATGAGGGAGGCATAATACAAGCTAGAATTCACCCTGTGCCACTAAGGCATTATTTACAAAAGACTTCCCCATGAAATTTTGTCTTTATATACTACTCCCTTGTGGTTTTCCTTTGTTTACCTTTCTGATGATTCTCAATAAAAACCCAGAAAGGCATAGCATAGGGGCTGCAGTTCTACCAGCTGTTAGCCCCCTGTCTTCACGCTTTCTAGCCTGAACCCTATTTCTGTGTGTCCCTGTCTTTTCCTTTGGTTTTGACAACACCTTAGTCCTCAAAATGACATCATTACTCCTCAATAATTTGGAGAGGTCCCTAACTGCAGATTTTCGCAGTGCAATATGTCTCATTTCCTGATACCAAGAGTGTTTAATTGTGAATCCAAGCAAGATAAAGCTGTTGACAGTTTCAATCTCCTCTCCATCCATCATGCTTGCTGCCTATTGGTCTAAGAATCTTTGTCTTCTTGACACTGAGATGGACTCCAGACTGGAAGCTACATTCCTTGATTTTCTGCAACAAGTGCTTCAAATTCTCCTCACTTTCAGCAAGTAAGCTTGTGTCATCTGCATAGTGCAGGTTATTGATGAGAGTCTCCCTCCTATCCTGATGCCACCCTCCTCCTTCATAGAGTCCAGCTTCTCAGATAATTTGGTCAGCATACAGATTGAATGTTCTTTTTTTTTTTATTTGCTTTAAAATTAGGAAAACATTGAGAGGTCCTAGATATTCAACATTCACTGTAAAACAAATGAGTAGTGTAGGCTCAAGGGCATTTTAGTGGACTACTGGATAGAGTCGCACTGCCAACCCAAAGGTGGGTTGTTCGAACCCACAAGCTGTAAAGAAAGACGGACATTATCTTTCTATATAATTTACAGCTTCTGAATACCCACTGAAGGGTTAGCTATGAGTCCATTTCAACTTGACAACAATGAGTGAGCACATGAGTGAGGATAGGCTCCAGAGACAGAGCAGCTATTCTACTATTCCCTTGCTGTGTGACCCTGAAGAAGTTACTTAACTGTTCTGTGACTCAGTTCACTAATTTGGTTGCAGAACAGTTAAGTGATTGATAAATGTTATCTATTATGATGATGATGGTCAATGGTAATGTCCATTTTTTTCTGCTTTGTTTGTTGTTATGTACTGTCAAGTCAGACATGATCCTAGCTGAACCTGCAGTGGGTTTTCAGAGGCAGTAAACTGCATGGAAGGAGATGGCCCATCTTTCTCCAGTGGAGCAGCTGGCAGATTCGAGTCATGTGTCTTCAAATAGTCAAGTGCAGCTCCTTATCACCAGAGCTCTCCCTCCTTTTTTTTTTAAATAAGACCTTGAAAAAATAATGCATAGGGAACTCAGGTGGCCTAGTGGCAATAAACTGCACTGCAATCCCAGAAACAGGCAGTTTGAATCCACCAGATGCTTTGCTGGAGAAGGCAGGGCAATCTCCTTTTGTATCAGTAAGATCTGATTTGATGGTACACACACACAAATAATAAAAATTTTTAAAAAAATGCATGAGTGACACTTCTAACCTCTTCATCACCATTATCATCACTGCTTTCACATTAGAAGATTTACATTAAGTTTCTTATTACCCACCTGGTCTTCTTCTCCACCTCCTTCTTCATCATAGTAATAAACATTGTCCCGAGTATCATCTTCTGGGGTCAGTAACGGCTCCTTGACCACTTTTCTCCTCCGAACAAGCAGCAGGAGCAGCAGAATCAGGACTGGAATGGAAGAAAGAGTACAAGAGAGCGATGAGAGCCACGGGACGGATGCTCACCAGAAGTCGTCAGAGTACACCAAAGCCTCTTTACGCAGCCTCCTTATAATTACACTCACAGTCCTAAAGCTAATACATGCAACACAACATACATTCCTCTTCCCCTAGTACCCCCACCTTCTACAGTTTTTACCAGCACTGATGAGGACAGCATACTAACTCCTTACTATCCCAAATGTAGCCTAAGAACCAGTAATGTCAACATCATCTGGGAGCTGGTTAGAAATGCTGAAGTCTGTGACCCTACATCAGACCAAATGGATCAGAATGCCCCTTTTACCCAAAGCATGGGGAGTTTGGGTACATATGCAGACTATGCTGAGCAATAAAAGACCAACACAATAGAAGACATCTGGGAATTTCCTGTCCACTTCCTAAAACAGGTTGCTATTCTAATCTTGGACCACTTAGACCTCTGAACTGCTTAGTAAGAGAGCCATCAACTTCTATTTAATCTAAGCCATTAAATTCTTATGGGGGATTGTTGACTTAAACCATTTAACCTGTACCCCAACAAATACAAAGGTAAACATCACTGTTAGCTATACTTACTAAGAAAAGCAAGGATTCCTCCAAGAATTCCCAGAATAGCAGGAACTTCCAGTCCTGCTTGTGCAAGGGGCCCACTCCTCCTACAGCTGTTGGTGCCCCCGGTGGCTCCTTCACAGTCACACACAAGGACATCTAAAGTGGTCACCTGGTCTTTGTTCTGGTTATCAGTTAGCTTCAGGTTGATTTTGTAGTCACCCAGCTCTAAATGAATCTTTGGCATCAAAAGGAGGGATTCACGGGCTGGAGAGTTAAAAAAAAAAAAAAAGAAAGGTAGAACCGGGAGAGACAAGATACATCCTAGAATAAGATTATTTGGTATTTGGGTAATAAAAATATCACAAAGGTGAGTAAAGAAAACCAGGCAACTTGAATTTTTGAATAATAAGCAGTACATCACAAAGTCAGATGTCAAGAAACAAGAGACTTCTGGTGGAATCCTTTAAATGTTGAGGGAACAAACAATCATCCAAGAAAAGGGCTGGAAACTGCGTGCTGAAAGTGAAAATTCAGAAATACGGGTGGGGGAGAGTATGAGAATCAGAGCAAAGTTTCTGCAAATTTACACCTACCTGAATCTTTGTATTCAATGGACCAGTTGACACTTGCCCCATGTGTTAGTTCTGCTGTGAAGGGAGAAGTATTAGGGGGAAGATCTGGATCAATGATGTTTATTGTATGAGGCTGTGGATCTCTCTGGCAGAAATCCATATTCCGAGGTTCTGGTACAGGGCCGTTGTCATTTACATCAGAGAGGGTCAGGAGAAGGGTTCCTGTACCAGTAGCAAGTGGAGAACCTAAAGGAAAAATATAGAAGTAATATCATATTACTATTTCATACAAATGAATCCCATTGCCTCTCATCAGCACAAACCCAATCTTATCCTGACGTTGCAGGTGTGTGTCCATCACTAGGCTCCAACCCACCTACGGCTCCTCCTGAACCACTAAAATCCCTGAGGCGTCTTTAATTATCATTGAGCTGGTTGGTCTCTGCCTTAGGTGGTAAAAGGTGCAACTAACTTTCCAACCAAGGAATAGATTGTTCTATTAAAAAGCATTTAATACCTTAGAAGAATGTGCTCCTTAGGAAAAAAAACTACATGAAATCAAACAGATATTTTCTCTGAGGCAAAGATGAGAAACAAGGATGGACAGGGAAACTAGAGGGATAAAAATGGGGGATAATGGCAAGGAATGGTGGCCTAGTGGCAAGAAGCTGCACTGCAATCCCAGAAGTGCGTGGTTCAAATCAACCAGCTGCTTTGTTAGAGAAGGAGGAACAATCTCCTCCTGTATGAGTCAGATCTGATTTGACGGTACACACACAAAAATAATAAAGTAAAATTTAATTTTTTAAATAAAGGGGGATAATGCCAACATATCAGGAGAGCAGGCAACTCATGAACAATATGTGTATGAATGGTTCAGTGAGAAAATAACTTGTATAAACTTTTCCCTCTAAAACATAATAAAAAGAAGAAAAAAGCCCACAATCTTTAATATAATAAAAGGAAACAAAAGCAGCACACTGGAAGGAATCACGCTTCATTACTGATGTTAAAAGCATGCACTTACAGCATGTTCTGTGTGGTAGAAAATGTCTTAAGAGTGCAGGCCGGGTGCTCATTAAAGGATGGTGAAACTTTGTCTTACATACTTTAGGCATGCTAGGAGGGGCTAGTCCTTGAAGAAAGACTTCATGCTCTGAAAAGTGGAGGGTCAGCGAAGGAGGGGAAGACCCTCAACAAGAGGAAATGACAGTGATTACATTGCCAAGAGTGTTGACTGTGAAGCCAAGCAGAGTCTGCTTATTATTTTCTCTTGGCAGTAGCCAGGAAATAAAAAAACGTATTGGGTTGGCAAAGTCTGCTGTTAGGGACCTCTCCCAAGTACTGAAGAGCAAAGGTATCACTCTGGAGACTAAGGTGCATCTGATACAAGCCATGGTCTTTGCAATCACTTGTTATGCATCAGACAGTTGGACAATGACTAGGAAGGATAGAAGGAGAATTGATGCCTTTGAGCCATGGTCTGGAGAAGAGTACTGAATGTACCATAGACTGCTAGGAAAACAAATAGATTCATCCTAGAAAGGGTCAAACCAGGGGACTGCTCCTTGAAGGCAAGGATTCTGAGGCTTTGTCTGACATACTCTGGACACACTGTAAGGAGAGACAGGTCCTTGGAGAGGGATATCATGCTTGGTAGGGTGGAGGAACAGCACAAGAGGGAAAGACCCTCTATGATTCAGTGACTAGGGTAATCAGGATGGGTGTGTCAGAGGCAGTGCGATTGGCACAGGATACAGCAGGGTTTAGGGCTGTTGTACATAGGGTCGCTATGAGTTGCAAGTGACTCGATGGCACATTAACAACCAAAAGAAGGAACTAAAAGGTGGGCAGAATAGCAAGTTAGAAAGAAGGGTGGGGCACAGAGGCACAAGCAGGGTCTCCTACCATCGTCAGTCGCTATAATGATAGCAGTGTACGTGCTGTTCTTCACATGTTCTAAGTTTTCTCTGTCCAACTCAGCCCGAGTAAAAATGGTCCCAGTATCAGGATTAATCTCCAACCAGTTAGCAGTGTCCCTCCAAATCCGATACCTACAAAGACACAAGTAATGGCTTAGAATAGAAATAAAAGGAAATATATAGCTGAGGAATGGTTTGCCTTTATGTATACATTTACTGTCAACTATCTGTTATGAAAAGCATCTGGAGGGGAGCTCTGGTGGCCTAGTGGTAAGGAGCTGCAACTACAATCCCAGAGGCGCATGGTTCGAATCCACCAGATGCTCTGCCGGGGAAGGAGGGGCAATCTCCTCCTGTACCAGTCAGATCTGATTTGACGGTACACTCACACAAAAATAATAAAATATAAACAAAAAAAGAAAGAAAGAAAGAAAGAAAAGCATCTGGACCTAAAGAAAACTTGCCAGAACAGCATATCAATTACCCAAACACCTTCCATATAGATTTACCCATTGTACATTTTGCCAAATTTGTTTTCTCTCTCTAGAAAGAGCCACAATTTCCTGTATTGCTGAATCACTTGAGATTAAGTTGCTGTATCATATTTTACTCAAATGGCTCCATCGGCACTGCTGGGTCATTTAACAGCTAGTTTTCAGATTCAGTATTTGGTTCACTGCTTCCAAATGGTACTTTACTTAGTTCTTCAAACTTTTGTTCTCAGTATTTCTTCTAAATTAGACTCTAAGTCTTGATTAGATGCTCTTTAACACAATCCGCTGCTTCATACCAAGCAGCAGCATATGCGTGTTTGACTGACTTTTGTAAAATAAACAGGTCTGAGAGCAAACAATCTATTTTTTTTAATGCTCCCACTCATCCTTCACCTAACGATTCCAGCAGCCATTGAAGAATAAGTTATATATTTTACCCTGTTCCCAAATGCACATTCACCCATCAGGAGCTGAAAGATGTTCATGCATCAGCCTTTCTTTGAACATTATGCTCTTTTAACTACAAAGGATCAAACTAACAACAGCATTATAAAAGATTAGATAGGAATTCTAGGAGGCAGTGAATTCATGCTAATGAGGAAAGAACAATTCAGAAAAGAAGGATGAGAATGGTTGCACAACTCAGAATATCATCAGGGTACCTTGAATTGTACCCACAGACATTGCTGAATTGGAATATGCTTTCCTGTGTAGATTCTCAATTTAGGAGACCAGCCCAGCCCCCAAATGGCAGTTCCTACAAGCATGGAAAACCTTCACACTTACGTTATCTTCTGCTCCATAAACTTGTCTGGATCCTGGGCGATGTAGGATGTGATTTCCTGGCCTACGCCAAAGTCTTCAGGTACTTCCACTCTCTTCACAGGAGGTATGAATATGGGAGCTTCATTCACATCTATCACGTCCACAGTCACTGTGGCGGTGGAGGTGCTCAAAATGACTGAAAAAGGGACCACATTCTCCACGGCCACATACAGAACGTACTGGTCCTTGGTCTCAAAATCCAAGCCCTAGTTGGGGGTGGGGGTGGGGGGGGAAAGCATTTCACAGTCTTTTTACCTAAGACAAGCACTAGGTGTTTAGATAACATTTATAATCAGCTGACTTTAATTAAGGCGGATCATTCTCCACATCGTCAGGCAGCGCTTCATTTTATAGACTGAAACACAGATACCTTGTTGGAGAGTTGGAGCTAATGAATGCCCATCATTTTATTTAAAGTGAGTATGTACGTGCGTGTGTGCATGCGTGTGCATGAAAGAGGATGAGTATACACACATGTACATGAAAGAGAACGAGTGCTCTAAAAAAAAAAAAAAAAGAAAGAAAGAACGAGAACGAGTGTGACAGTGAAAGAAAGTATATCCCCCGCTGGTTCTGTTTCTCTGAAAGATCCTAATACAGTTGAGATTATACCATCAAGTCTCAAATCTGGCTGCATTAACAAAAATTGACTTGGTCTTTTAAAAATTACCAGCGCCGGCGAGCTCTGGTGGCCTAGTGGCAAGAAGCTGCAACTGCAATCTCCAGAGGCGCACGGTTCCAATCCACCAGATGCTCTGCTGGAGAAGGAGGAACAATCTCCTCCTGTACCAGTCAGATCTGATTTGACGGTACACACAAAAAATAGTGAAATAAAAGAAATTTTAAAAAATTTGCTAAAAAGAAAAAAATATAAAAAAAAAAAATTACCAACGCCAATCTAACCCAACAATACAATCTAACCCAGGTTTTGTTTTTCAGTAGTAGAATTCTTTCCTTCTATGGGAATAATCTGAGTTTGAGTCCTAGACCATGCCACTTAAACACAGCCACCACCCCAACTGTCAGGAGAGGCTTGCATGTTGCTGTGATGCAGAAAGGCTTTGAGCGAGCTTTCAGACTAATTAAGGAGCCCTGGTCAGGTTAAATGTTGGGAGTGGCCTTTGGATTAACAGTGCAGCTCTCTATGGACTGTGCCACCAGAACTCCCTTACATATGGCAGTGCTGGTTATGTGACTGAGTGCTGGTCAAGACTGAGTCGTAGCTGACCATCCGGCGGGTCACCTGCAGGCTGTAAATCGCATGGAAGGAGACTGCCCATCTTTCTCCCTTTAAGCAACTAGTGAATTCAAACTATGTGTCTTTGGGTTAGCAGCCCAACTCTTTATCCACTAGGCTACCAGAGATCCCTTTACATATGGTAGGAATGCAAATTATTAGCTTCTTTCTTTTGTTAATGATCGGTAAGAACAAAAAATGTTAACATCAAATGTTTTCTCGAGTTAATTTATCCATAAAAAATCTGGTCACTTACTCAAAAGGAGGCCATCGTTCTGGGGGAACCCAGGAATCTGCTGTGTTTTGGCTAACTGATGTGAAAATAATCTTTCCATAATCCAGGTTTTCAATTTTTAAGGGCATCTTCTAAAAGCAGCCACATCTGCCTTGCTTTAAATACAATCTAGCAAAGTATCAGAGGAATCACTCTTGCTAATTTGCAAATGGATATGGGGGTGACATGAAAGAGAAGTAGTAAGTAAACGTTCTCCTGGGAAAACAGCCTATTAAAAATAACGGGGGGTTTTTTTCCCTTCAGTGTAGGACATGAAGAATCACCACATACACTACATGATCAATCAGAATCTGGAAAACCATTTCTCCCTCCTCCTACACCCTTGAAGTCCTAAGATATTAGGAGACATAGGAGTGGACATCAAGTTAACTGTCCATTTGTTCATCTGTCCAGGAGTCTTACAAACCTTAGCTGTTTTTAAAATGCCATCATTTGTGACTGGATCTGTGATGACAACAAATTGCTTCTCATTATCATTTAAGATGAAGTATTTGGCCTCCCATGCTGGAGTGTTGGGCACATCAGCATCAGTCACGTGTAGCCTGGTGATTTCAGCATCGACCTCATTCTCATGAACCATACCTTCGTACTGCAAAACAGAAGAAAACAAGAAAAAAAAATAAAATTTAAAAAAAAAAAGAAAACAAGGTAAATATTAAGTAGGAAGTAGTCATTTACGACAGTAGGATCAGGCCTTAGAGGCCTAAAGGAATCCTAGTTCATTATTCTTTCCTTCACGAAATTGTGCGTCATCCTTGCGCAGGGGCCATGCTAATCTTTTCTGTATTGTTCCAATTTTAGTATAAGTGCTGCTAAAGTGAGCACATCCTTCTTTATTCTAAGCTTTGAGCAGAAGAGATGAAGTTAGATGAGCTCTCCTAGGAGGAAGTGCTCACTCTACAAGCAAATCCTCTGTTCCTGGTGATGAAGAGCTGGTGATGGTAGTATCATCCTCTTAAGATTTCCAAGGCCCTGGCTGTGTAAGCCCCCTTGGCACACTATCAAGTGCAAGGTTTTGGTGTATCCTCATCGACAAACCATTCTCCATCAGCAGCAAGAGTAATCTTCTTATAAGAAAAGTCTTGGGCTGCTGCAGTCTCTAAAAACAACCCACAGAAGTCTGGCTATCTCAATCCTCTCATTGAGAACCGTATTTAGGATTAATTCTAAAATTCTGGTGTCAGCCTTAAGATCCTGCAGAAACTGACCTAATTTGCGTCTCTACCCTTTATTCAAACTGGCTGTTTTCCAGTTCCTATACAACAAGCTTCCTTTTTTTTTTAAATTTTTTTTACTTGTTGTGTGCTGTTGAATCGGATCCAACTTGCACAGGAGAATATTGTCCCTCTTTCTCCCACAGAACATCTGGTAGATTCGAATGGCATGCCTTTGGGATTGCAGTGCAGCTTATTGCCACTAGGCCACCAGAGCTCCCTAACAAACCTCCTTTTGATGCAGGGCATTTTGCACATGCTGATCCCTGTGATTAGAACATTCTTTCACTTTCCTGTTATCTCACCTATATTTGAGCCCATTTTTAAGTATGAGTGTAAATATAGCTCACTGGTTTTGGAAAGCATTCTTCTACTTAACGCAAGTAGGTGAGGGTGGCAGACACAGTTAACCACTTCCTATATCAATTTTTCCCTTTTTCACGAAATATATTGTTGATGACAACTGCCTACCTAAAATACATTTCCCAATTTTCCTGTAGATAGGAATTGCCAAAGAAATGCAAGTGCTACTTATAGACTGGGTATTCACAGAAGCATCTTTAAGAGGACTCAATTCAGTAGTTATGCCTTTTGTCCTTTCTTCATGGAGCACTGGCATAATGGCTGGCATAACCCAGCACCTTCTTATGCCTGCTTGAGTCTAAAGTTAATACTCAATAGATCATACGAGGTACAGAATAATTACCAGGGTTGGATCGAAGACGGGCGCGTTGTCGTTGGTGTCAGTGATTGTGATCACAGCAGTTGCTGTAGTGCTTAAACCAGTCCCTTGAAGATCAGTAGCTCTAACCACTAGGGTATACTGGGGGACACTCTGTAAAGAAAACACAGCTGAGTCAGGACCAAAAGTCACCTTGGACCCAGCCCATCTCCTAGAAACAGTTTATCTTCTCCTTGAATGTCATCCACCTGCTACCCAAACACAGACCCTCTGAACAGACATTAAGTAGTAGTAAATGGATTCCACAGAGCTTTTCATTGCCCAGGGGATTTGGCTTATCTACCTATGCCCTCACCACCCTCAGGATCCTCTTGACCCCTGACCTCTCGGTCCAGCCCAGTAGCGATCACACCAATAACTCCTGTGTCCCGGTTGATGCTGAACATTTTGTCATGAGGCAGTGCAGGCTCCTGGCTGTCGATAGTGTAATAGATGGCAGCATTGTAGGTGTTCACATCGTCATCTGCATCTGTGGCTGTGACTTGCATCACAGAGGTTCCTGGAAGTGTCAAAGGACAGAAAGACTGTTAAGTTTTACTCTGAGGTCTGATCAATACTGCTCAATCTCATTTTGTCCCAAAGGAAAGAGGGGCTTTGAGATAGTCCCATATCAGAGCTCTTTTTAATTCTCTAATTTCTAAAATTCATATCAAAGTGCTTTAAAGAATTCTGTCAGATAAACAAGTCTGGAAACTCAACGTTTCCAATAAATTTAGGTGGTAGAGGTGAGTAATCCTATGTGATTACAGGACAGTTACATTGAATAAATAGAATGTAAAAAGAAATACTCCAGAATTTTCTATAATTGGCTTCCTTGCTAGAGTTTAATTGGAGAGAACAATTAACTAAAACCATTTTCAGTATAGAAGAAAATATATATATGACTAACAAAGGACCCAGAAGCTCTAAACCTTAAGAATTTTTAAGACCCACTAGGGATAAACAAAAGTAAAACACAATACAAAAGAAATAAAAATAAAAGGACATAAAGTCATAAAAAAATGATACTCAAATGGTCACTGAACATTAGGAGTAAATGGGGAAATTAAAATCTCATAATTCACCAAGATACTTCTTGTTATTATATACTGTCAACTCAAAACCAACACTGAGCTGACTCTCTAGTAGGTTTTCAGAGATAGTAAATCTCACATCTTTCTCAATGGAGCAGCTGGTGGATTTGAACTGCCTGCCTTTGGTTGGCAGCACATCTCCTTACCATTAAGCCATCGGCTGCTATATGTAAATGGAAGCTAAGAAGTCTAACAATTAAATGATATCAAGCAAGAGATCTTGCTGGTAAGAGTATAAATTGGTTCAACCACTTTTTAAAGTGGTTTGGTGCCATCTTTAATAAAGCTGAACTCACACATAACCTACAACTGAACAAACTGTTCCTAGATACAAAGCCTGGAGAAATGCACATTTGTACCAGAAAATGTTTTTAGGATATTGTTTAAAATAGTAAGAAACCTAAACAGTCCCCTTTCTACCAATAGAACTTTTATACAAATATTTTAAAGGGCTTTTCATATGTATAAAAACCTGTTTTATACTATAAGACAATGATAATTAATGTCTTATGTACAGAAAAGCTAAATAACAGAGTAATTCAGAGAACCATATATACAGTATGATTCCATGAATTTCAACACTAAAAATAAGACAAAATCAACAGGGTATTATCTTGTAAACACTGACACAGTAAAAAAAAGAAAAAAAAGACATGATTACACATGTCAGGAATGGTTATCTTTGTGTGAAAAACTAAAGAATAGGATCAGGGTGGGTTACACAAGGGCTTCCAAAATAAGTTTATCCACATAAAGACCTGGCCTCAATCTGTATGTACAAAACTTTTCCCCCTGGGATTTCAATTCATTATTGGGAATACCTGGTACTGCGTTTTCCATGACAGACCCTTCAAAGACCTCCTTGGTGAATATAGGTTTATTGTCGTTCTGATCTGTCACGGTAATCACGATCTCCATTGGGTCTTCAACTGCCTCTCCATTTGAAGACACCGCGTGAGACAGGAGCTGTAAAAGCCAACGGTGAGTTACTTGGACTCTGACCACGAAGAGGAGGGAAGAGGAGAGTCTGATGAGAGAAGAGTGGATGCTCAGAACAACTGACTTCCATTCTGGCCCACTCTCCAAGGTACAAGTGTAACCATTCCCAGCAGGGAGCATGTGTGCTGCTCTGGTTGAAGGTATGACACTGCCTGAAGCAGGCTTGAGAACCTCTGAGCTCCCATTTCTCTCAGAAGCTGAGGACTGGGGAGTTAAGTGTAAGAACCTCATAGTGCCAACTTCCTCCCCCAGCCCCCCAATCTAGTCATTCCAGTCTAGTGTTTCCCAGACTTTTCATCTGGAATCAATACATTGTGTACCAGCTTCTCTAAGTTCTTGCTGCTACCAAATCCTAGAAATGGCTTTTGCTCTCCACTGCCAGAATACTTTGAAGCTAGAATGGTGAGACTTCATCTCACATACTTGTTATCAGATGTTATTATCTGAAGCGGTTTGTGATAGGAAGGCATCATGTTCAGTGAAGTCAGTGAAAAACAGGAAGACCTTGAATGTGATAGACTGACACAAGAACTGTAACAATAGACTCAGACAGAGGAGAAATTGTTAGGATGACCCAGGAAGAAGCAGTGTCTGGTCCTTATGAGCTAGAAACGTTAGAAATAAGTCAGTGGAACCTACGACAGAATCATGAGCAATTCCTTCAGTTCAGAGACTTCCAGTCCCATCAAAAGACTGACATGTTGGGTCTAAACTGCATTCTCTTAAATACATGTGGCACGAAAACACTCTTTTCTCCTAAACAGGAAAAGATAAAAAAAATCCAAAATCCCTGAGATTCTCTTGTCATTTCACCTAATCAACAGATCAAGTAAGCTCCTGAAAGGATCAATGCATCCCATCTAGGGATTCAAAATGGAGAGAGTATGCCGGTGATGTTCAAGAATTTCTTCACCTGAATAAACAATGTTGCCACGTTTTATCTGAGGCAAGAGCATGTGTTTTAAGAACTCCCTGCTTCCTAGATTGTGCTTGAAGCAAAAGCCTCTACCTGCTTTTTCCCCTCTAGGAAAAAAAAAAAAAAAAAAGAAAAATGGAGAGAGTAAAATTCTGGGAAGAATAAAAAAACACTTTCTTTTTGAGGATGCTACTCATCATTTACAAGCTCCAAATATTTACTTACAGTGTAATTTGAAATTTCTTCTCTATCCAGAGGCTGTGTCACCATCAGCCATCCAGATTTTCTTTCAATTATAAACACACCAACAGGAGGTCTGTCAGCTCCTTGACCAGTGATGCTGTAGAAAACCTCAATTTCTTTTTCCCTGCTGGATCTGATCTGAAGCAAAAATAGAAAAGAGGAATTAGCAAGAAAGGATACTGACATTGGGTCTTTAAATTAGCTCCTCAGTCCTTCTTAATTAAATCCCCACCCCAAGATACAGGAAATTTCCCTACCCGAACCACGTTTTTAGGAAATGGGCCCTTTTCATTTTCTGGGCAATTGATAGGTGGAATAACCCAGTCTCTCTTCTGTCGTCGGAGGCCCCCACGGTGGAAGTTGGGGAACACGATCTCTTCTGTCTGAGGTCCAGAGAAAGAGACCTAAAAAGGAGATAGAAAATGAAAGGAGATTATTCAGGAGAGATACTATCGGCAGACAACAGGCCAATCTCGAAGTCAACATCTTTCTGAAAGCAATGTATGATTTTAAATTAGTAACATATTCTCTTGACAATGAAAAATTATATATATAATTTCCAAAATGAGCAACAAAAACTAAATCCATATTCCTCTGCCATATAATCAAGACTATGTTATCTTTTAATCCTTTTGAGAGTCCATTCACTCTCTTATTGTTGGAATTGACTCACAGCTGACCCTCTAGAGAGTTTTCTAACCTTCTAATGAGTTTTAGTGAGGTTGTAAATTTGTATAGGAGATAGTCTTCTTCTTTTTTTTTTTTTTTAATTTTTTTTTATTTAAATTTTATTATTTTTGTGTGCGTGTACCGTCAAATCAGATCTGACTGGTACAGGAGGAGATTGTCCCTCCTTCCCCGGCAGAGCATCTGGTGGATTCGAGTCCTTCTTTCTAAATTGGACCAGCTGTTGGGTTTGAGCCACCTGCCTCTGGGTTGGCAGCACAACTCCTTACCCATTAGGCTACCAAAAATCACTATGCATGTCTTATTATTTAAGTCATAAGGTTGATGTTATTTTAAGTCATTTCAAGCCTACATTTTTAATGGTAACATTATACGCTAATGATTTAGCATCATATATTTATTCAATAATTGGACATTTATAGGTTTGCTTTCCCTTCCTCTGTTTTTCCTAGGGCTATAGGTTGTTCTGAAAGCATAGTCATCTATCAGTCAAAGCTATGTTTTGCAAATTGGTATAAAGAACTTGTTTGCAATCAATATAGATTACTTCGTCTCATTTTGTCATTACATCTATATGGTTTCCATTTGTTTTAACAGAAGCTTTTGGGACAGCAACCAAAAACACCCTTCTGTATTGAGTATTTTTTTATGTGCAATAAAGATAACATTATGCACACACAGGGAAATAAGATAGTTGAAAATACCTTCCAAATTGTTTAAGTGTTTAAAAGTGATTTGTGGTAAAGTGGTAAATGTCCCAGATGATATAATTTCATTTCCAATTCTCCCATATAGAATCCTCATTCACAATCACTGATCACTGCTTGCGAAGCTCAATTAAAATCCAATTTCCTGGCATTGTTTATTTGATTCAAGATATGACGAGAACCCTTCGCTAATTCTACAGAAGAGTCACCCCCACACACTCCTATATACACACTCTTTTACAGAGAAGCAGCACAATCTAGGGTCAAAGGCAGGCTCTGAACCCAGGCTTCTGGCTTTGTGTCCTCGCTGCAGCACCCCCATATCCTGGACAAGTTGCCCAGACTCTTTGTATCAAAGTTTCCTAAATATCCAAAATGGTGCTAATATTAGTAGCAACCTCAGAGGGTTCTGATGTTAAATAAAAGCAGAACAGAGCATGACACACAGAAAACCTCAATAAATGAAAATAATGAAGATGATGGCTGGGTTGGTAGGAAAACACTGAGTTATGCTGTTTAAAAAACCCAAAACTGCGTTTGATTTCAAAACAGATCAAAGTAATAAACTGACCATCAACACTGTACCCTCGTTTTGCAATGACCATCTTCGTACATTTAGGCTGTGCAGTTTGCCATATGGAAGAGGAGGAAGTCAAAGGGATTCCTTATAGATTTGAGAATATTTTCAGAACATAATCATAAACACTATGTTGGCAAGACTTTAAAATTAGTATAAAAATTAGTATAAAATTTATAAAGTATAAAGTATAAAAATTAAAGGGCCTCATACCTAAATATATTAAATGTGGGTTCACTCCTCAGGGGAAAAAAAATAAAAATACCAGAGTGAAAGAGCCTCTGGTTCTCAACTAGAGGTGATTTTTGTTCACAGGAGGTATCTGGAAAAGTATATGGAAGCACTTATGATTGTCATAACTAGGGAACTTCCTGGTGGCATCTGGTGAGTGAAAGGTCAAGGTTAGGTCTAGTAAGATAGTTTCTCATATGAATTAAGGCAGTCTAGTTTTCTGTCCCTTCTAACAATCACAGGACTAGAAATAAACCAACTTGAACCTCAAAACCAGCTGTGGTAATTTGTCATCTATCATTCAATATCCATTCCTCCTTTTAGAAAAAATGGTTCCCTATGTGTGTTTTTAAGCACTGTGCTCAGCAGTGTTCCTGTGGTGGTGATTGTGACCCTCCAGCTATGGAGGCAGTAAATCACACGGGAAATTGCCTAGGCTTCCCAGTGGAGCAGTTGATGGAATTGAACTGTGTTTAGTGCATCTTCTTACCATTAGGCCAACAATGGATTATTTAGTGTGGTTTTTGTGATTACAATCTAATTTAATCCCATGGCTGCATAGAACTATGCAAATACAAGATACCTGTGGCACAGAAAGGAGACTACATGACTTGATATGGTACATTGGCACCGTTAGGTGGGATCATTAAAATAAGATATGTACCATCAACAAACGAATGGCTAGAGAAGCTGTGGTATATTCGCACAATGGAATACTATGCTGCATTAAAAAACAAGGAACTCATGCAATATTATTCAAAATGGTTGACTCTGGAGAACATTATGCTGAGTGAAATATCCCAGTCACAAAAGGACAAATATTACATGATGCCACTGTTGTAGAATGGGACTGTCCTTGGGGTTAGGGAGACACTGAGTAAGATGGGTTCAACAATGTATACTGCACTGAAGCAGAGGAGGGAGAGAACCGTCTAAAAGAGAGATGTAACTGGGTATTTCTGTCATCACAGGAGACTAGAGCGAGGGCTGCATGGTGGAGGGAACCTGGGGGAGGGTTTGTAAAACAATGAAAGAATCTTTTCTTTTACTTTTCCATAATTTTTGGACTCATGTACTTATAACTTGTTAGTCAAATTTGTGTCTTCTAGGTTGCAACACCCCCATGATACATCTTCAAGGATATGTACATGTACAGCCAAGCACAATCAATAAGAGTGCATCTGAATTCCAAAATCAATCTCCATAATAGTCTATGTGTTTCCTACTGCCAAAGGGGCCCTTTAGAGTAGTGAGAGAAGATCTTCACCCTGAAACCCACAGCGTCCCTTTTCAGCAGGAAGTAGCTAAGAGAATACGCCGTCCCCTTTTCCTTATGACTCAGGGTGAAGTCTCTCTCAGGGAGGAGTGATAGGGAATGGCAAAGGATACACTGACAAAGAAGATTAATCAGAACTGGCTTTGACAAGCACTGTGGCATTTGGACAAGAACAAACTGGGAGGAGGGTAGAGAGAATAGTGCAACAATGAATGAGTGGAAGCCCAAAATCTCTGTAAATGTTTATGAAAATTAATAAAATATAATTATAGAGAAAAAAAAAAGATATGTAGAACACTAAGGTGGGATTGGTCAGTATAAGTCATTTAAGTCCCATAAAACTTAAATTGAGGCACTAGAGAGGCAGAAAATACCATCTAGAAAGAAGAGAGGACCCTTCGGACTTGAGATCCCTGTGCTAAAATTTCCTCAGAGTAGAAAGAGTGCAAGATCCTGAAACAACAGCAGTTGATACGGCGGAAGCAGAGATGGCAGCACCAGGAGACCAGAGTGAGGCAGAGTTGTGGGCTCCCTGAGACAGCATGAAAATGCCAAAGGCCTTCTTGCTCAGCAGAGAGAGGGATTTCAGGTTCTTCTTGGGAAGCGAAACCTGCTAAGTAAGAGAGTCCACTTCAAAGGTGAGCACTTTTGGACCCAGGCTTTCTGGGTGGAACAGGGTATCCTGAAGGAGCTTCTAAATACTTGCCTGAGCAGAATAGAGGCCAAAGCTGTAAGAACAAGGGCCAGGGAGGGAGGCCTGCCTATTGATGAGGCTGAGAAGATGTTAATAAAACCCCATAATCTTGAGTCAATTCCATAAGCTCTATGTGGTCCCTGCAACAAATTAGCAAACCCAGTAGAGAAGTACTGTGTGCTTTGGGAGGTATCTAGTACTGGTAGGACGAGGCTTGGAGAATTGAGGATGGAGTTATGACTGATTTCACAAAGATCTGCTTGGAGCTGATGTTGCAATTGATGAGGATTCTTCCTCCTAATCAATTTATTGGAAGTCTATGCTCTCTTCCAGCTAACTGTAGACACAGGACTAAGTCTTCTGGGCAAATATAAACAAAAGAAATGCTTGAAATTCCATAACAGCTTTTTGAAAAGTAGATAGTACTTTTTTTTTTGGGGGGGGGGATACTTTTTTGTGCTTCTCCCCTTTCCTCCTTCTTGTCATCTAGGATTAAAATACAATGATCCAGCACCATTTTGGATCATGAGGTATCCTCAAGCATGGAAGCCATGTGCTGAGAATGGTAGAGTAAGAAGCCTAATTTATTACCTTTGGACATCCTTAACTTAAACAAAACAAAACAAACAAAAAAACCAAAACAAACAAACAAAAAAAAACCCCCACACAACTCTTGCTTAAATCACTACAATTTGGGATTTTTTTTTAAATAGTATCTACTTGACCCTATCCTGATAAGCAGACAGAGAGGCAAAGTGGGAAGAGAAACTAGAAGGATCAAGGTCAAAGACCTTTCAGATATGAACGGCTGCTGTACACAGCTGCCCAACAAGAACTCACTGTACTCAGATTCTCACATTAATGACAATGTCAGTCAGAAACTTGGGTTGGGGAGTATGCTAACATAGCTTTACCAAATTGCTCATTTTCCATGTCTATTTACTCCAGGGAAAGTTGTATCAAGAATCTTTCAGGAGAAAAATAAGAGCCAGCGTGAAAAGCTTTTAGCACTCACAATATATTCTACATGTCCAAGGCAGTGAACAAACTACAACTGGAATGGCCCCCTGAGAAGCATTCTGACAAGACGTACTAGGGAAGAAAGATGTCACTATCCATAGAAACACTATAGAAACTGGGAAGGCTTTGGCTAGCAACTCTCTTTAAACTGCCTCCTCCAAAACCTAGGAGGATATACATCTTCCCTTTTATGACCCATCCAGTCCATCCATCCGCCCATTCTACATTTACTGGGATCCTGCTCTATTTCAGGCCTGGGTCCTGGCACTATGAATACAAGGGAAGACTCTCGTGGAGGTCAGAGTCCAAAGGGACAAAAATAGCTTCCTGCTGGCTTTCTCCTTCTTTGTCAGGATTCTCTCTTAAGAATCAGCCCTGTCATTTATTCTTCCTCCAGCAAGAGCATAAAAACAGTTAGTAGTTTACTGAACATTTAACATGTATTCAATTGAGCACTGTTCTAAGCATTTCAGATTATTCATTCATCAAGTCCTACGTTATACATTTTCAAGTAATACCTTCCAGATGTATTCAATTGTCTGGCTTATATTTTATAGATGAAGAACCTGAAGCATAAACAGTTTGAGGAGTTTGCTTCAGGTAGTAAATATCAGGGAAGCACTTGCACAATTACCCAATGTTCTTACAGAATCTATGGCAATAAAGGGTTCTATCACCGTTACCAAAAAGAAATTAATGAATAATTAACAGCAAAAATAATTCTATTACGCTAACGATTCTTGACGATGGGAGCAATATAATTCTATCTGAGGCATTTGGAAAGTGCCTGGAGACAATTTTTTGGTTGTCATAACAGTGGCCTTTAGCAGACAAGAGATGCTGCCGAACATCCTCTAGTGCTCAGGACTCCCTTCTCCCATACACAGATCAAGAATTATCTGGCCTAAAACACACCAGTAGTACGTCTGACTAGACCGCACACTAAAAGTTCCAAGAAACTCTCAAACATACATGATGCTGATGGTGGTGATGGCGGCGGTGCCGGTGGCGTTCAGCAGTCTTCAGCGTCACTTTGGCGGAAAACTTTTTATGGGAGGAGTCCCAGGCCTGGACATGAAAGCTGGTCTCTGGCGTATGAAGTTGGAGTGGCCGTGTGACTGTAACCACACCATCTGGGCCCACTCTGAATCGGGTGTCATCAGCATAATAGACTGTTCTTGGTCGGCCAGTACATGCTTCAAAACTCACTGAGGGACAAAAATCAGAATGATTAGGATTAAAGATGAAAACATGCTTCTTCAGAAAAAGGGAACTTGATTCACCCACCAAAATTCAGGCTCACATAAAATAAGCACAAAACACAAAAGAAAACAACCTAAAACCTGTTGTCAGAACAGTGGAAATTTGAAGGGTTGGCATCATTATATTTCTTATCATTTATTGAGTGATTGGTTAACAGAACTTTTCCCAATGCCTTGCAAGGTGATAACTATTCTGCCTATAAAATATCTACTCTTTCAGTAAGAACAAAAAGCACTAAAAGGCTCTCTTCTAATATGAAAACTGCTAAAATATCTGAAACAGGATACTTACAGAATACAGAAATCAGAGAACCCAGGTATAGTAAGATGCCAGGATAGTCTACATTTAAAGAAACAGCTTACGTAGTTAATAGATGGCAGGTCATAATAGAGGTGCATGTATGCATGTATGAAACATGTATGGAATTTGGAATCAGACTGTCTGAGTTCAAATCCCAGTTTTGCCACTTGATAGTTGTGTGACTTTTGGTAAATGATTTAATCTTGCTGTTTCCACTTCACTCATCTCTAGAAGAGAGAGCAATTTGGCACTACTGTGGGACAGATGGATAGACTATACAAAGCCAATTATTTAGCTTATTTAAAGGAATTATATGAGAGTGACAGGCGGTGGGAAGTGGAGTTTGGGGAATGATGTTGTATGGTAAGGGCAGGTCACTTGAGTATGCAGGAATCTAAGGGGAGACCTGACTCAGGGGGCTTTCAAGTAAAAAGTACAGTCAACAAATTAATTATCTCAAGTTGGACTATTTTCTTCCTTAATCTCTCCTATGGAATTGCTTTCCCCCCTACATTTTCTGTTATTTTTAAGAAACAAAACAAAACCTTGCTTTATGCCTATTTACAGGCTAGACACTTCTATCTCTACATTCTTAAGGATCAGGTTTCTGCCAAAAACCCTAAGGCCAGGCTGTGGTTCTCATTTCTTCCACTAGGGGCCACCCTTGTAAACTGTAAATCCAATTGTCTTGCTTCAGGACAGTAGGTGCAATTATCTCCTTCCCTTTTATTTTTCCAAGGCAGAAGGATAATGTGACAATGTTGTTACAAGACTTAAAAGTATGTACAGGAACATACAATCACGCTTATGAACTGAAAAGGGATCAAGTACTCCATTTCAAAGATAAAGAAACTGAAGGTCAGAGGTTAAGAAGCGTGCCCCCAAAATTCCATAACCAGTAGACAGCAGAGTTGAGACTGGTGCATTGGCACTTAACGTGAGTTATTTCAATTTATGAATGACTCCTTCCCTGGGAAACTGAATCCAACCAGGAGCCTAATGTGGCGGGATGGGAGTATCACCAGGACTGTGGAGAGAAATTAGCACTCAAAGCGGAGCACTGCCTAGTTCCTACCCAACTCAAAATCTTGAGGGTAAAATACATATTTGCTACCTCTCAAATGCCCTTCTACCCCTGGTTCTGTTAGATATAGATAAATTGAATGGTTTAAAACCCCTCCTAGAAATATCAAGGCACTTCCTAGTAACTGTTCCCTGTAGAAATAATGAGGCAAAGAGATTGTGTCTGGAGTTTATTCCTATACACAAAAAACAAAAGGTGCCCTCATTTGCCAATATGAACACCTTCCTGAAGTCACCCCAAATCTAGCCAGTAAAAACCGAGGCCAGCAAGATCAGACTTGCTAAGGGTGGTGGCCTAAAAAAGAAAAAAAAAAGTGCTTTTGCAAATAACTTGATGCATGGCACTTGCTTTGGGGCAAGCTCATCTTAATAGGAGCAAAGCCCTGCCCTGTAAGAAATGATAGAGGGACAGACAGCCCCAACCTGAATTTCCAGGTGCTCATTAAAACCCATTATGTTTCTTGTGTGCAACCTGATCCTCTGGGCTGATAAATCAGAAATGATAGGAAAGGCAGGAGATGTCTGGCTCCAGGAAGCTTATTTTAATCACGATGAGAGCTGGGCAAAGACTCTGAGCCAATATGAATCCTAAAGCCAGACAGCTAGTTAGTTAGCTAGCTAACTCACTCACTCACTCATTACCATCGATTCATAGGTGACCTCTTCTATCACACAGGAGGAAACTGTCCATCTTTCTCCTGGTGAGCAGCTGGTGGGTTCAAACCATATGCCTTTGAGTTGGTAGTTCAAATATGGACACTAGAAGATTGGGGACTAAATATTCTTTAACTCAGCATTTCCTAGACCAGTTAGTCCCATATACACTGAACATGTAGATAGGAGAGGCTAATCCTTGGAGAAGGACATCATGTTTGGAAAGGTAGAGGGACAGCAAAGGAGAAGGCAGCCCTCGAGCAGGCAGAGTGACACAGTGACCGCAGCAATAGGCTTGAGTGTGTCGGAGATTGTGAGGATGGCACAGGATAGGACAGGGTTCAGATCTGTTGTTCATAGTGTGGCATTTAGTTGTACTTTACTCAACAGCACCTAACAACAAACCAGTTAATTTTGTCTAAAATCCAAATCTCAATGATGAGAGTCAAGAACTTTTAGATCCTCTATAGATAAATCTTGCCACTACAATACTATCATTAGCACCAATACTATAAATATGTAGAGGATACTATATACTATGGCTTAGTGGCAAGAGTTGTGCAAGTGGGAGAAAGATGGGCCATCTCTTCCCTGCTGAGGGTCAGCTGTGAAGGAGTCAGTTCTGACTCACCAGTACGCAACAACTAAGTGTTAAAAACAGTCCGAAGGACTTTACAAACAAACCACTTAATCTCACATCCTTTGAGGCTAGCAGCACAAGTGGTGCAGTGGTTAAAACAGAAAGGTTAGTTGTTCAAACTGCTCCACAGGAAAAAGATGTGGCAATTTTAGTCTGAAAAGCCTTCCAGGTTCAGAACCTTATGGGGCAGTTCTACTCTGTCCTTTAGGGTTGCTGTGAGTCGGAATTGACTTGATGGCAATGGGTTGGGTTGGGTTTTTAAGAGGGTCATACTCTGTTTCCCCACATAATCCAAATCCTTGCATCATGCTCACCATGGCCATCTCCTCATGTAGCCTCACAGCCAGCCACTCTGTGGAGGAAGCATTGTTAGCCCTCTTTTCCTTTCCTAAGTGACATGCAAGGAGCTCTGGTGTTTTAGTGTTAAGGAATAGTGCTGCCAACTCAAAGGTGTATGGTTCAAATCCATCTAGTGCTCTGCAGGACAAAGATGGGCTGGCTCTCTCCTCCAATACAGTTTACTCCCTCTGAAACACCACTGGAGGATCAGCTATGGCTCAGATCCAGCTCCACAGTAACAAGAAGTGACATGCAGGAAAGTCTAGATCTGACTAACCCCATGGGTGAGCACGTTCCACCGTGGCATACTGTTTAAATGCATGTAAATGGGGACTGTTGTCAGCTATAGTATCATTAAGGAAATAGAAAAATAAAACCCAGAAAAAGAAATCCCAAAAACATACGGAATTCTACACAGTATAGCTCTTAGGACTAACTGACTGGAAGAGGTGAAGAGAAGATTTTAAGAACGGTAGCTAGGGGAGGGATGAGAGACAGCTGGTTTTACAAGTTTTGGGGACTGTTTTATTCATTAATTGTTGCATATTTTCCTTCCTCCCTCCCTCTCCTTTCCCCCACCCCCAATCCACTCTGCAATGCACCTCTTGCTCCAGATTGTTGTCATACTTAGGGGTTTTTTAAATACATTTCCTTTATACAACTTTGTTATATATTGCCAGTTATAGTAAGAATGAATTGCCTTTGCAATGATGATAAGTAGTAAGAATGAACTACTGTGGGTTTGGGGGTGTTTTTTTAATGGGTTACAGAAGTACAAGTTTCCATTCAACCTACTGTGGCCCATTTTCTAGCCTGTTTGCCAGAAAGAGACAGATAACTGAAGTTCAAATAAAAGTGAAACTCATGGAAGTTCATGGAAGCCTTTGGTGAAGGGGCCAACTTCAAGAACTCAGCAGCATTTTTTGCTTTGAATTGTAATCATGCCATGGAACAGTCGGCCTGCTTTAAGGATTCTGCTTCTCCCACCCCCACTGAAGCCTTGGAATGTGAGTGGGTAGGAACAAGGCTGTCTCAAAACCCTGCTATGAAAGCCAGCTAACCATAGCTGAGTTTATTTGGTAACTATCTCTTAAAAGCAACTAGAATTAAAAGCAGTGTTTTCTCCAAGTCAGACACAAAGGGCGTTTTACGGGTGTATCCCTCCCTTCAGAATACATTTCCAACAGTGGACAGCAAGGACTCCAGCACTTAGCTTCATTTCAAGGACCATTTGAATTTGAGCAACTAGGCATCAGGATGAGAAAATTACATCATCAGAGAGTATTACAAGGTTCTGGTGATTCTGCCATTGTTAACTCCCAAACCAAGAACTATGGCTTCTAACAGACACTGAAAATAAAAGAAGTTTAACGTGATGATGGGTGAAGAAAATCTTAAACAACCCCATGTGGCTAAGCAGGAATTTTTCTTTCTGCTTGTTAAATGTACTGTTTTTAACATCAACCACAAATATTTAACTTTCCACAGATCCCATGGTCTTTAAAAAATTTCTTCTCAGGTTGATTATTTTCTTAGATAAATAACTGACATGTTTTCAACTGAAATTACTAAACATTCTGAGTTTAGTGAGAATACACTGTGGGAAGATGAAGCAATTGAGATACTCAACAATGTTCCAGACATTTAAATCCATTTGGGTTGTAAATATTGGTGTCGAAGGCCCTCTATGAGGTGGACTGATTCAGTGACTGGGATAACTGGGATGGGAGTGTCAGAGACAGTGCGATTGGCACAGGACAGAGCAGAGTTTAGGGCTGTTGTACATAGGGTCGCTATGAGTCGGCACATAACAACAACAACAATTGTACATGTCTATTTGCTACCAGAGGAAACTCCGGTGGCTTAGTGATAAGAAATTTTGCTACCAATATAAAGGCATGTTGTTCAAATCTATCAGCTGCTCCTTGG